TTTGGCAGGTTGAGCGAAGGGGTTAACCGCTTTCAGTCGGTGAATTGTAAGGGGATGGTCTGCTTTGTTGGCACCAAGAGGGATGGAGTTAGTTTGATTCTGATGTGTGATTTGGCTGGGAAGAGGTGGTGGTGGCCGAGGGGGCAGGAGGGGAGGACGGCTGGGATGGGAAATTGTTTGGTGCACACGGTGGAACCTTATATTGGTTTGGTGAAAGGGAGCATATAATTTGGAGGTAAGCGGAAAATTTGAATTGTGTTCTCTTGTTTATTTCTTTATGCTTACTTGCTTAGCTAGCTTATTAGGATTGTTAATATCATGAATTAGATTAGCATATGATGTCAAAACGATTGACCTTGTTATTGTTAATCTACCAACATCTAGATACAGGTTTGATGGATTTGTGAAAGATCTGTGAGCTATATGGGTATTCATCCCATAAAGCTTGTAAACAATGTTCCACTGTGCATTTTGGCAAGTTTACCTTTTAGTGTCGGTGGTCATTTCATGTTTTTGGAGGTTATCGGGATTTTAGATACATGAAGGTATCTAGGTTATGATTTTCAATGTAGTAGTTGTGCAAACATTTGGGTTAGCACATTGGTATTAATCGGTTTGCATCTTTATCCTACTGAATATACCCATATGTATGATTCTTAAAGATTTTCTTGCCAATATATGTTTTATGTATTGTAGTTGTGCAAACATTATTTATTGCTTGTTTATGCTGAGCTAGCTTAGTAGAATTGTGAACACCATGAATTAGATAGCATTTAGTGTAAAAGCAAATATTTTGTCTAGTTGAGTTAGTGACATCTAGAGACAAGTTTGATAGATTTTGAAACCTCTATAAAGCATATTAATATTTATCCCATTAATATTTTGGAACTTGTAGATCATGTTGAAGAATGCGGAACCGATTTTGATGGTGCACTGTGCATTTTGGTAAGTTTACCTTATGGTGTTCGTTTAGTATGGGTAGTCAGTTCATGTTTTCTGGAGGTTCTTGGGATATTGAAATGCATGACACTATCTAGGAAATGTGGTGCATAGTAGTTGTGTTAATATGTGGTACAATTGATTGGGGTGGATCTTCATCTAGCTACGATCAGATGGTTGTTTCTTGTAGAATTGTCCAAGAGCAACAAGTTAACAATTACAAACAGAAAAATCTTCTTTCAGTGTGTCTAGTGGATTTTCCTTGATTAAATAAGCTAAGGAAATGCAAAGCATGTCACATTAAAATATCAATGGTGCATGAATTGAAAATCTTTTTCTAGGATTCATGAGACTAGAACTTTGATCATAGATCCATAGAATTGTACTTCTACATAATATTTGCTCGCTTTAGGGTTGAATTCCCTTGTTAAACCTTAGACGGACAAAAGCATTGGGCTAGTTACTCTATTCGCTGAATTGGAAGCAAACTTATAATTCTGACATGGGTCATAATGGTTATAGGAGGGGCCTCATAACACAAGAGAGAGGGATAATCTAAACCGAGCACTAGGGAGCAGAAGACAAACATGTATTAGGTCATAAGAGAGAGCTTGGTTGATGCAACAACTAAAAAGACTAGTTCATTTGATGGCTGTTTACTCATACTTCATTGCCATTTTTTCTCCTGAGGTCTATATTGTATATTTAAGTGACAATAATGTTAAATTTATTTTCCTTTCATTTTTGTAAGTTAGCTCTCGCAGATCAATGAAAGGCATGTTAGCGCTCTTAGCATTTATTGCAACAGACAAAGCCTAACTTTTCTTAAAAAACCTAGTTGAATTCCGGTAAACCAAACAAGAATGATAGTCAAGTAGAGAATCTGTCTGGACTTGTGTAGGTACCTTACCTAGTGGATCCCTTGTTTTTTGTTTGAATCATTTTGGCCCTCCGGTGAAATCATTTGATGCATATGCTCTTGAGGTAATCTGATTTAGAATCAGGCTTGTTCATCTTTCAAGCAATGCTGGCCTATTATATAGCACATATCAAAGTATTGGCATCAATGTTGAAGTGGATCTAGTTATTCAACTAAGAGAACTGGAAATGATGGCAACAAGTCTAGCAGTCACCAATTCAGTGGAGGGATACATAGATAAAGATGAAGTTGGATACTTAGCCATCTCAAAGAAAACTCCATATTGAGTGAAGATTGTAAGGTTGTAGATAACAGTTCAAGAGGTGATTGTAGGACAATGTGGCTAAGTTTTGAATTAGTAATAAGAAATAATTGACATGGGAAACATATCAACATGGTGATTATGGGCACTGGTCTATACAGAGTCTCAATGAATGAACACCAATGGATGACACGAGGAAACACTGAGTGAGTGCAAAATAGAAATGTGTTTTGCAACATAAATGAATTCCCCATGCTAATGACATTTTCTAATAGGCTAATAATATAGAATTGAAAATTTCCCCTTTTCTTGAATACTAGCAAATACTTCCCACATGATGCAGGGGAAAACAAGAAATCAAACTATATTTAAACAAATGGGTATACTGTTGAAAAAACGCAAAAAGATGACAATATTTAACGCTTTATATCAAATGTAATACACAGGTAATTCATTCTCTTCAATTTCATTGTGTTAGTAGATCAAGACACGCCTTTCAATTCAGTTGAGTTTATATTTTCAGCCTGGACATCCGACAATGAAGGTAACACGTGAACAGAGTAGCACAAAATGAAACCTACAACTCCTGAGCATGACATGAGATCTTACCCTTACTATTTCACTCTCTTCACCCTTCCTCCTATCGGGAAAAGATCATTTTCAACTGCTACTTACCTAGAACCAAGAAATGTTTCACGGACATAGGTTTCCTTGAGTGTCTGTTGTGAGAACATACTGAAAAGTTATTATGGTGACAATTATTTCATAGATGTGCAAGCAAATTAAATTGGGTCAGAATTCAGTAAAATAACCTTAGTCTGCTTTCAAAAGCTTCAGATAGGAACATAATTTTGATATTATCATAGCTCTCTTGCTCAAATGTGGAGGTAGAGCTTGAATTACCTCTCAATCTTCTAAGAGCTTTCCATATGGTGGTAGAAACTTATCATTAGTTTCTTAGTCTAAGGAGGACACTTCTCGTTTTCTTTTGAAACCTAACGGTATTTCTTCTTCTCTCATCCTGGTGTGAACATCTTGTTTTCCACTGCCTCTGTTACTTTACCTGCACCTATACCATAGAACACATAGCCATGTCTATTACAGTCTCCTGCTTGTGCTAATGGCTGCTGGTGAATATTAGAAGCTTGTGACCGCATGTTTTCATATAGGCACAATGAAGATGATGTTTCTACTTGGCAAAGCAAGGACTTGCTCTTACGTACAGAATGACCAGGTAGATATAAGGATGAAATTAACACTTACATCGTGAATGAACAAAGTTCCATATAACCAAATGTAACTAACAATTGACATCTCATTAGTAAATGCTTGCATGTGTATGAGATACAAATGATAAGGTACATATATCATCCAGTATACAACATTTGGTTTTACACAAGTCACTACTTTTTTGTTAATCGCATTCAATTCGTAATGTACGAATATAGATCATAGTCAAGAACTAAAAGCCTGACTTGTGTTTTTACTTGTTAGACATTCTCCGAAAAGATTATAAAATATGGAAAATTGATATGAACATTAAAAAGATCAAATATACAATATATGTTCAAGAATCATTTGATCGGTGGAAAGGCAGATTTTTTTTTTTTTTTTGCCTTGGGTGAGTTTTTGGAGAAGCGGAACTGATTGAGGATGATGTCTTGCCCGTGAGAGCGTGGAAGCAAATGAAGACTATGCCGAATACGGCACTGAAATTGAGTGGCAGCAAGGAGGAAGGTTTCTTGGACTAGTGTGGCTCTGCCATCGTAGGCGGTTGATTGAAGAGTTGGTCCTTCAAAACTTTAGGTCATGATTTCTTCTATTTGGTTGATTGATCCAAAATATAACCTTCACTCAGAACTCTCACACCTGAAAGAGATAATAAATGAAAAGGTCAATAGAGAGAATGCTGAGGATATAAATGAGAAATAAATACCGCCCTATACAGCTTTAGTACAATTTGTAAGTGTGGTACAGTGTTGTCTTAGTGTAAGACACCAGATTTCTGCGGACTCTACTGTCCCCTTCATATATAAAGTGACCTATAACTTCACAAAAATATCAGATGCTTACTACATGGTCATCTGCTATGAGATCCACTTGGTATGTGCTCAGTCTAAACAAATTTATAAAATAAGAAATGCATCTCTTATTATCTTCATCATTATACGTAATTGACATTGTAGTCATATTACATCTTTCCAGTTTTAATTTGATAGTTACTACTGATCATTCATAATCATGTGTGCACTTAAATATTAAAATTTATAGTCAGTAGCACGGGCTCTCTGATCAAACTTGAAGAGTGAATGTTGTTGGGAGCCTTGGACAAAATGCATCCTTCTATTTGAATTCTTGTTTTTGTCAAACTCTTGAATTAAAGCCGATTCATGGGTCCTGTCGCTTCTCTTGCCAACTTAGATATTGAAGCCTTCGTGTAGGTTTATAATTTGGAATAATCTTGTTATGTCAAATGTTATGGTTCAATTTCTGAAGTGTCATTGAATAAAAAGGATAATAGGTTAGAGAAAAAAACAGAAATTTAAGCCTTCATTTTGATGGGCTGAGACCCCAGCCGATTAGGAACCAGCCAGGTGGGCTTTTGGTTTTTCAGTCCTTGGAGACTATAGGAAACTTTTATGATAAATGTTCTGATAGGATTTGTAGTCACCCATGGAGATAGGAAATAACCGCAGTTTCCTGGAAAGAAATTTAGCTCATTCTATCCACTTCTGCAGCCTGTTATCCTGTGTTTCAGTTCTGATGATTTTTTTTCTCCTCCTTCCAGGTTTTCATTTTTTTTTTTGCCTTACCATTTGGATCTCTGGGATATAATCTTCATCTAAATGATATTTTTCTCAATGCAGGCTTTAAGGGACTAGTTCAAGGAGAAGAAACACTGCTTGTTCTGGCCTGCTAGTTTTTCCTCGTGATGGTTTCATGTTGATATTCATTGCTTTTGTTGACTACTACTGTTGTAGCCGATACCAATTTACGGATTATTAGCAACTTTAGTGCTCACAATCAAGCACTTGTTCTTTTGATGTTGTGACAGAATTTTGTACATAGAATAGTATGGAGGAAAAATTTCCCCTTATTTCATCTCTGCTTTTTTGTGGCTATGTTCTCATGTTGTGAATATCATCATTTGTACAGTTGCATCTCTTTATGATTGTAAATTCTGGAAATTTTTCCATGTTCTTTTTTCCTCATGGCTTGTTGGTGAGGAGAAGGATTATTGTTTTGCGGTGAGGATCTTGAAATTGAAAATTATATATTGGTTACATATTGGTGGTTAACTTATTTGCGGAAGATTGAAGGGTGAGAAATGTGGTGTTTTTGAATTATCTCCATGTGTAGTTGTTTTCCAAAAAAAAAAAAAAAATCGGAAATGGAAAACTCACATTTCAAGAGATTTCAAGACAGTTCCTGTATTTTTTTTGTTTGTTTCGCAGTGAAATCACTGTCACGTCATCGCCACGTCACATAAGAAACAAACCCAGCCACAATAGTAACAATGTTTCGATTTCCAACTCTTGTGTTTGTTTGAACATAAAAAAAAGGAAATGGAGCCGCAATAGTAACAGTGTTTTTAGCAATTAAATAATTTGTTTTATTCACAATCACTGTTTCAACAGTGCTTTTAGTAATTAAAAATTCATTGAAGTGATATTTTCAAGTGTTTTTAGAGTTTTTTGGTGCGAAAACAGTTTTCACAAAAATTTGACGTGACATCTTACGTGACAACCTCATTTCTTTAAATTACAAAACGAACAAACATGTGATTTAAAAATCGGTTGAAACCAAAATCCTACGTAGCAGGAGGGATTTCTTGAAATCTGACGTGACGGGAGGATTTCTCATTTTTTTTAAGCAAACAAACAGCCCCTAAACTGTAATCCTTATGCTGATGTGTCCCACGAAAGCAAAATCCACCCAAAATGAGCTGTTTTGGACGGAAAGCTGCTATAACGTCAGTAAAGAGCTGTTTGTTTCCTTTTTTTGAGAGGGAAAGGTGGGGAAAGCCTGCCAAAAGCTACACTTTTGGCAGGCTTTCCACCCAAATCGCCTCTAAAAAAGGCGATTTGGGTGTGAGAGGGAAAGGTGGGGAAAGCCTGCCAAAAGCTACACTTTTGGCAGGCTTTTGATAGACTTTCCCCACATTTCCCTCTAAAAAAAAGGGAAACAAACAGCACCTAAAGGTCATTGAATTTTTTTTTTTACCAATTAACTCATTTTTCCATCACCACTCTTCCTTCTCTATTTCTTCTTGTAACCTCCAGTGATCTCCACCTCATCCTGCGTCCATCGAAGGCATCAACAGGCCTCGCCGGCGAGGTTCGGGATCAAAGTTGGGTGGTTTGGGTTTTTTAATTCGACGCGAAGACGAGCATTACGAGCTTGGGTGTATTTTCTGTTAAAGCTGGGAGCTTTGAGTGACTGTATTCAAATTTAATGCAATATGGAATTATTTGAGCATTGTTTACTCTGTCCCTCGTCTTCTCTCTGTCTTTCAGTCACTCAGTGAGATTAGTTACTTCCCTTATTTCGATTTAGAAGGATACAAGTGTCAACACCGCGTATTTTTCCCCGCTACGGTAATCCTGGTTTTAATTGCTACAGTATTTTTAATAGCTACAGTATCCCACCTCTGCTGCAGCAGTGTCCAGCGCTTCATGTTTGCTACAGTAATAATACTACAGTAAATACCAATGTAATATTTTCTGTAGCATGAATGGTGAATCTTGGGTTCTCCCATTTGTATAGGGGAGTAGATAGGTCTAAGTAGGGAATCCGAAGAGATAAAAGAGTCTTAGAGATGATGATGAGGATGGTGATGGTGATGAAAAGAAGATGGACAAGTTCACTGAATTTTTATTATCACTTGGGCAGTTGATGAAGCTTGCTAAGTTGAGACGAAGTTGTATATTCATGTCTTCTGTAATTTTCTTGTGGTATTGATAAAGTTTTACTATAGCTTTTGGGAACTCCACATTTTACGTTGTTATTTTTTATGTGAATTAATTAATAGAAATGATGATAAGATACATGCATTTTCAGCATCGCTAGACTAATGTGTAGATTTATTCATTGTTATTGACTATGGATTGAGATCTCACATCATGTATATAAAATATGTTTGTCAACTGGATATAAGTTGTTGAAATTTTACTTTGGGCTATTTGTATTTGGGTACCCCAAAAATTTGTATCTTTGTTAAGGTTGATACTCTAAAGTTTTTCTCCGAAACTTAGATACCCCAAAGTTTACACGTTATTGCATACCCTTGCATATTGTTTTTGACACTTTGACACCCAAAGTTTGGGGTATCAAAGTAAAAATTTGTGTGAATTTTTGGGCACTAAAGTTAAAAACTGTGTAAACTTTTGGGTATCAATGTTGAAAACTGTGCACACTTTAGGATATCAAAATATTAGAAAAAACTTTGGAGTATCAAAGTTTCAAATAAAAACATTTGGGTACCAAAGTTAAAAAAGATGTAAAGTTTTGGGTATTAAAGTGCAAATAACCCAAATAAATTTTGATGGGTGTGAACTTACCTATAGGTAAAATGATCATTGGAGTTGGGTCCATATAACAATCACTTTCCTACAATCTCTTATGTAAACCAAACAATGGAATTTTTTCATTTGAGGATTCTCAACATAATCCAAAACAAACAATGTAAAAACTAAAATGTAAAGCGATGAAGTGAACAAATTTTTTTTGTAAATCATTCATACGTAGAGAGCTTGGAGATAGAATCCTACAATTATTAGGATTATAAATATCTTATCTCTAGGATAAGATATAATCCAACCACTTATTTGGGTGTTTATCTCATATATAACCAACATATCCCCCCTCAAACAAATGAGTAGGTGTCATTCTCGTTGCTACTTGAGCCGACTCTTCGAGTAGTTGACTCCCCGAGTCAAAGTCTCCTTGAGAATCTCTGGTTGAAGCAATTCAACATATGCCAAGTTCTCTGGTCGAAGCAAAACAACAAATACACTGTGTGTGGGTCTAAACGAACACAATTATAGCACATAAAAAATCAAAATTTGAAATTGCTTACAAATTACTCAAATCTTTGAAGAAATCCACACCAATTTGTCATACCAACTAAGCTTTAGGAGACAACGTAGGATGTGAGGAAGAAGAGCGAGAAGAAGAGGAGGAAGAAGTAGCATCACAGTGGGTTAGGAGAGAGGAAGGAGGGAGGAGATGATGGAGAGTGTTGGATGGAGAATAAAAGAGGGTAAAATGGATAACTTGGATAAAATACAAATTTTGAAATTGCTTACAAATTACTCAAATCTTTGAGGGTACTCCAAATTAATTCCTCAATGATCAAAATATCTCTATGTTTGTGGGTCTTTTCGGTTTTTGCCATATTAGTCACTTAAATCATTCATATTTTGAATTTGTCCTTCAAACCACTATGATTACTATTAAGTCCACCAGTTCTCATGTAAGTTTTGAAATTACTCCCTCAGATCATTGAAAATGCCACTGGCTCCTCCAAATTCTTATATGTTGTCTCAAATGAATCCCATTGAATTCTACTTCTACTCTTAACTGGAGGCTACTCTTAACTGGAGGGACTAATTGCAAAATAACTTAAGGTTTGTAGGACCTGTTGGCAATTTCAATAATTTGAGAGACCAATTTTATAATAACTTTGACAGGCCTAATAGCAAATTTTAATGGTGTGCGGGACAGATTCAAAACATCACTAAATCCTAGAGGTACAATTTTTCACATCCTCGTTCTTCTCTTAATTTTTTTTATTACGTGAGTCATGACTGACAAATATGATTGTTTAAACTTTAATTTCTCCCTTGTTTGTCTTTTTTGCTATATTAATAGGTATTATATGTATTGATTTAGTGTGTAAACTGTACATGTAAATAGTTTATTTATTAATTTGAAATATATGAACAAAAGAAACTTGATTCATTTTTTGAAATATATCAAATGGAGAAAGAGGCATTGACGAGGAAACTAATGAACCTTAAAAATAGAAGAAACTTAATTTTGTAGATAATTGAATATTCCGAATCAAAAAAATAAAATAAAATATTAATAAAGGAAAATTTGCTTCTAGGCTCCAAATTCGAACTTTCAATGTGTCCATCCCCTCCTATTTTTTTAATGTGCTTCAGCCCTTTTTTTTGAAAAAATTGTGTCCAGACCCCTCCATCATGATTCTAGCTCATGATGAGATATGACAGCTCATGATTAGACTTACCAGTTCTTAACATCCCGATTTTACGCTCTTCTCTTTCTCATGCCAGCAAATGTTAACTGTTATAGTTAACATGTTAACTGTTATAGATAACATGTTAACTGTTATAAATAACATGTTAACTATTACAGTTCACACATTGAGCTCAAACGAAAACCATTGGCACATCCTTCTCCCCCTCCCATTGGCACGTGGGCCGCGTCCAACATCTCCGCCAAACCCTCATCGCCTGGAAATGCTTAGAGAACGAAGCAGGGGAGGGAGGTGGGGGCTGGGAGGGAGGTGGGGGAGGCGGAGTCGGTTCGGTTCGGTTTTTACCAAAATTTGAACAACCGAACCGAACCGTCTATAATTCAAAACCGAACCGAACTGTTGTAAGTCGGTTCGGTGCGGTTCGGTTCGGTTTGTTCGGTTCTAACTTCATCAAACTTTTTATCAAACAACGAACTGTGTTAAAGAAAACAAGATATCAACAAAGTAGGAGATTATGAAGCATTAAACACTGATATAATGATATTGTTTTCAACACATAATGAATCAGAAAATGAGTTTAGGGTTTGAGTCTTTGACTCTTTGGGGACGGGTTGGGTAGGTTTGAGATCAGAATGGGTAGTATTGCACTATATTCGGTCGGTTCGTGTTGAAAAGTTTTCAAACCGACCCGAACCGCCCTACTCATAAAACCGATTTTTTCGGGTCGGTTCGGATCGGTTCGGTCGGTTTTTTCGGTTTGGACCGAACCATGCTCAGCCTTATGGGGGAGGGAGGTGGGGGAGAAGGGTAAAATGAGGATTGTGTATGGAGTTTGCATGAGAATTTGGGAAGAGGGGTTTGGACACAAAATTTTCAAAAAAATGATGCTGTACCACATGTGTGAAAGTTGAGGGGCCGGGGCACATTCAAAGTTGTGATTTGGGGCCTTGAAGCAATTTTTCCAATAATAAAACCAAACAGAACAAGCATTTCTAATCCACGCCCCCATGACCGCTGATGGTTCTAAGAAAAGTCCCCAAAATCCCCCTCCTCCTCAACCCCATCCCAAACCCTAACCCGATCCCAAACCCTAACCCTAACCCCTCAATCTCCTCCCTCCTCCGCCTCCTCCGCTCTCCCCTCCTTCCTTCCCCTCCACCACTCCCTGTCCTCCGAGCCCCTCCTGCCCGGCGAAAGTCCCTCGCCGCCTCCCTCGACTCACTCCCCCTCCCTCCCCGCCTCGCCGACCACCCCTGCCCCTGCTCGCCTCCTGCCCCTTCTCGCTGCCCCCGCCTCCTCCCCTCCTCGCGCCTCTCCTGCTCGCTCCCCTCCTCCGCTCCTCCCGCCTCCCGACGCTCGCCAGGCCTTCAGCTCCTCAAACCCTCCCTCAGCACCTCTCGGCCCGACCCTCCCTCATACAACCTCCTCATCTCCGCTGTCGCCAAGCAGCAACCGAGCGACCAGCAGCCCTAGCGTGGTACGCGCCGCCGATGATCAAGGATCGGGTCGAAGCCCGACGATGTACACCGTTTACATCCTCCATCGGTAGCTCGCATCCGGGATGCGGCGGCTCGAGTCGGGGTTGGAGTGGTTCAAGGAAATGAAGAGGAGGGGGTTGAAGCCCAACGTGGTGAGCTTTAATTCCTTGATCTCGGGGCTTTTTAGGGAGGGGGAAACTGATAAGGGGGTCGCGGTCGCTCGTGAAATGCTCGACATTGGTTGCACGTTCTCGGCGGCGACTTGCGAGATTTTGATCAATGGGCTCTGTGGAGAAGGGAGGGCTTTAGAGATGTGCGAGATTTTGATGGGTTTCTTAGCGGAGGGAGCGGTGCCCGACGGGTTCGATTGCTTTGTGCTGGTAGAATCTTTATGCAACGACGGGAATGAGGACAGAGCTATCAAGCTTGTCGATTCGTTGTGGGAGAATGGGAAATCGGTAAATGTCGTGACTTGTAGCTCATTAATGGAGAGCTTGAGGAAATGTGGGAAGATAGATGAAGCTATCGGGTTTATGGAGAGAGTGATGGAGAAGGGGATGGTTTTGGATAGGATTAGTTGCAATTGTTTGTTTGAAGATCTCTGCGACTCTGGGAGGGCAATGGAGGCGAATAGGTTGAGGGTTTTGTGGGGGAAGAAAGGTTTTGATGTGGATGGGACGACGTTCGGGATATTGGTTCGTGGGTTTTCAAGGGAGGGGAGGGTAAGGGAAGGGGAGAAGGTTGTGGATGAGATGTTGGATGGAGGTTTCATACCGAACATTGCGACTTATAATAAGTTGAGGGACGGATTGAAACGTCAAAGCAATCGTGTTCTCAGATCTAAAGGTGTGTCTGTCCAGGAGTAATTGGATTTCTGTGCGATTCTAGCAAATATCTGAATTCCAATACGGAGTGTTTGATTGGATGTATCTTATAACAGTGTCCCAGAAAATCTGAGAGGACAATTGAGGCGAATAGATTGGTTGTTTTGGTGGAAAGAAAGTGTTCAAACCTGATGCGGTAAAATTCGGAGTATTGGTTCGTGGGTTTTCGAGGGAGGAGAAGGTTGCGGATGAGATGTCGGGTGGGGCTTTATACCGAACATTGCGACCTGTAATAAGTTGAGGGACATGTTGAAATGTCAGAGTAGGCGTGTTTTCGGATCCAAGGGTGTGCTCGGTCAGGAGTAGTTGGTTCTTTGCTATATATTCAAATTTCAAGGTAACTGTTTCGCTGGATGTCGCAATTTTCCATTGTTGTTTAAAAAAATAAAATACCTTGAAGACGAGAGAGTCTTGAAGAATTATGGGAGGATGATGAAGGTGTGAGTAAATTGGTGTTTTCTTTTTTCGCTAGAAAGAAAGGAGAGTGAGAGAAGGGGAGAAGGTTGCGAATGAGACGCTGATCAACGATTTTATACCAGATATTGTGACTTATAACAAATCGAAAGATGGGTTGTAATGTCAGACGGAGCGGATTATCATCGCATCTGAAGGTGCATTTGGTCATCAGGGGTAATCGGATACCGATAATTCCAAGAAAAAAACTGTTTTGTTGGGATGTTTATCGCAGCCGTCAGCTGCGGAGGGAGGTTTGGAAGGATGGAGGAGGTGAATGGCATTAATTGAGTTTCTGGATGCTTGGGTTCGCGGATTCTAGAGGGGAGAGTGAGAGCGCAGGCGAAGTTGAGTGTAAGAGAGTGGATCGCAACGTCGAAGCAAATACTACCCTGGTGACGACTGCAAGAGAGCGGCGCTGTATTCCTACTATAAATGGATGCCCGATAATTCTTCTTCTCCTTTTTTTTCTTCTTCCAACATTCATAACAATCTTAACACTCTAATTGTTATGAGGTAGCTTCACTGAATCCAAATGTTATTATCCATTAATGGTTTTCTCCAATATCTCACTAAACTAGTTATTGTATAAAAGAAACTCCCAAACTGGGGGAAATTTATTTTAATGATCCATCTAGTATTACTTCTACGCTCCATTATTATTTGAAGAAGTATGCAGGTTGTATTTAGACACTTACCCTACGAAATGAGCACTTCTTGCTAAAACTCAAAATATCTCTGAGATCAAACAAGGGACAAGAACTCAGATATTATGACCGCAAACATTGGCAAGCCAAGACGTGTGATGTGTGATCCCACTTGGTTTCTTGAAATTCTATCCTAAATTAAGGATAAATAGAAAATAAACATCACTATGGGATAGTTTGGGTTAACTATATCACCCGTCATCGTATTTATCTCTAATCGCATGTTTTATATATATGTTTTAATTGCTTAGATGACTGGTCATGCAATTGAAGACAAACTGGATCATCAATTACCTCTTAACGTTTTTCGCCAATTAACATAACATAGTTTCACTGACGTGACATAAAAAGTTGTTACAATCATTCAACATCATGGATTTAGAGTATAGCTCTTGTGAAGTTAAAGTAGAAAGGAGCCTTTAGTACACAAATTTTTTCTATCCATTGATATTGAATTGAGATTTGTACTAGCATGTGATACACATCGAGACAAAACTCTCAAAGTCAGCATTGATGTATATCTCAAATCTCAATGCATAATAAAGGAATAAAAACACTGATGGACTTCCTAAATGCAATACCTATTCAAATTAATAAAAACTAAATTACTAACATATCGACATCTTGTTCTTGAAAACATAAGCTCGTGGCACATTGAGTAAGCAGCACTGCTCAAAACATATATGAAAATATACAACTCAAATTGAAAAAAAAAATATCACAACAAAAGCTTGACCGTATTTTTTTAAATTTTTAAATGGAAATACAGCACCATACTTGTTCATTTCCACCGATGATCCAACACATTCAGATGGGCTCGGGGAAATCCAAGTACAATTCCTGGTACGTTCGCAAATTATTCAAAAGACAACAACCAACCTTTCAGTTACAACCTCCACAAAACATTCATTGCGAAAAAAAAAAAACAAGCTCACTGAAATAAGTTCCACAGGTCCACAGACAGATGCAGCGGACTAGTAGAGCTCGCTTTCCTTGTGAGTATGAATCACGCAATCCGAAGTAGGATACGAGACACAAGTAAGCACGTACCCCTTCTCCATCTGCTCGTCGTCGAGAAACGACCCATCAGACTGATCGACCGAACCAGAGACCTTGAAGCCAGCGCAGGTCGAGCACGCACCGGCTCTGCAGGAATATGGGAGCTCCACCCCTGCGGTCTCGGCCGAGTCGAGGATATAAGCATCGTCGGGGGCCTCAAACTCATGCTCGTCGCCTTCTGGCCCGATGAGCTTCACCGTGTAAGTGGCCATGGCGGCTGTCTTGAAGGAGTTCGAGGTCTTGAGGCCGAATGCTTTGGATGTGCTCTTCAAGAAGCTGAGGGACGACGGGGACTTGAGCAGGGCGGGGGAAGGGGCGTGGGTTTTGACGCTGCATTTGATTGCGCTGGGTGTTGAGAGGGTAGCGGTTGACATAGTTGATGCCTGATGAGGGAAAAAAAGCAATATATGTTATCATCTGTGAAATCTCAGAACTATTTGCATAGGAAAATATAAGAATACACGTCAGGTATATGTCAATTTCATGATTCGGTCATTTTAGACCACAGAAGAAAAATTTTGCAAAAAACTGGAGAAGCAAATCAAGTTGTGAAGAGAAACTTGCGGAAGGTGCAAATGGTCTCCAGTTGTTTTGGTCGCATGCAAAAGGGCAGGCTTGCTCTTTGGAGATTTAGCAGGAACCCTGACCTTCACTCAGACTCCAATAAAATGAGGAACAAAATGATCCACGCTAATAATTCTTTTCCGTTTGTCTTCTATGAGAAAAGAGAAAACTGTGCTGCTAAAACTAGTGTGCATCAACAGAATCCAAAGGAAACTTCAGCAAACATAGCCAAGCCCATTAAAACTTTCAAGGGTTTTATGGCGGATTCAAAATTCTTGGACACGCTTCAGGTTGTCAACTGATAAAAATTTTGAAAGGGGGAGAAAGAGGGAGAAAACGCATAATAGTAGAGGCCGAGGCTGATGTTATCTTGACTCAGTGAAATATGACCAAATCAACGATTCTCATTAGAGAAAATCGTGGAAAATTTGAACGTGGGTTTGTTAAGAGAATATATCTCAAGGGTGGATATGAGGCTGGTGGAGACAGTGGGTTTAGCCCCTATATAAAAGGAGGATCAATCTCCTTCAGAAAATACAACAAAAGAAATCAAAACTCCTTGCCCGTAACCGAAGTCCCCCCTCAAAATCCATCTTTCTTCTCTGTGTTTGATTACAATACCTCTAAAACAAACAATAGCTTTTTTGCGCCCCCAAGAAATTGAGCCTGATGCGTACTAGAAAGGAAGGAGAGCGTGATCCAATTAAAATCAGTTCATCGTGGATGAATCAAGAACCACGAGACCTTAAATCAATGCAAATGAGATGGGGGTGGAACCACCACTAGCGGGCTCAAAATCCAAAAATTAGCTAATGAACTATAGGGATTTTTAGATCTCGAAAAAAACCCTGAAAACCCACCAAACGCAGCAAATAAAATCACACATGATTTAACGTGAAAAACCATCGACTGGGAAAAACCACGAGATCAAAATCAATCCACTATCACCTCCAAATTACAATCTTTTGCACGGACAAAGACTACCAAACTCCCTCTCTATTTCTCTCTACACTTCTTCTTCTTCGTTTTTCCTCTAACAATAGAAGGACATATATAGGGGAAACCAAAACTCTGTCTCAAGCCTAACTTCCTAATTAGAATAAGATTCAAACTCCTAATTATGACGGAACCCAAACTCCTAATCATGATAGATCTCTAACCCTATCTAATTCTCATGAAGTTCTACAAAGAATTAAAAACACTATACTAACTCGGAGTTTGAGTTGATACCCAACATGAACTTCTCTGGCTTGTGTTAGATCTACATCATAAAACTTGAGATCTAAATGTTAGATCTACATCATAAAACTTGAGATCTAAAACCATATAGCCATGATTAATTCAAAGAGATTAACAAAATCAAAAGAGAGCGGAAGCTTATACCTGAATCCATTGCTTGATCTTGATTTTGGGTGTTGGATCTTCTAACCTTAGGGTTCTCTCTAAAACCGAATTTCTCTAGCTAGATGGGGGTGTAGAGAATTAGAGAATGTAACCCTAGGTTAGGGACCATAACCCCTTATTTATAGATGTTGTACTTTTGTAATTTAGCCCCTCAATAAATTACAATTACAACCTGGTATCTGCACATATGACCCCATGACTTATTTAAATACCAAATTAACCCAACTTAATTGATCACTTTAATGGGTTATCCTGAAAGATAGCAATACACATTGATTAATCATATGTGCCCACAAATAGATTTATTAGATTAAATCCAACAATCTCCCACTTGGGCACCATATGATTCCTTAAACTGTGTATAACCTTATGAGCTCAAAAATATCACTGAAAAGGGTATTTTCGAACAATCTCGTCCATTGACTATATCAATATAGGATCAAAGCGGCCTTCGTCACATTTATCGTGACTCGACCCATCAATGGTCACATATACCAATACAATCAAATGACATAGATCAATCATGGATGTGCAGCATGAAAATTACATGCAATGTGATCAGTACATGTCTATTTTCAACTGGTCCTCCTTAGTGAGGTCAAAACCAAACATAATGTAACAGAGTGTCTTAACTGAAAACTTTATTCTGATCAGACAATACAAACAAACATAAAGCACCACAAATACAAACTCCCACTAAAACATAATATCCTCAAATAATACCACACCCATATGAGCAGTATGCTCATGAAAGACCTTAGGTGGCAATCCCTTAGTAAGAGGATCAGCTAACATGGAGTTTGTCCCAATGTGCTCTATGGATATCTGTCCACTCTGTACCCTTTCTTTCACAACCAGGAACTTAATGTCAATATGTTTTGACTTAGTTGAGCTCCTGTTGTTATTGGAATACATTACTGCAGATTTATTGTCACAATATAACCTTAGTGGTCTTTCAACATTTTCCAAAATGCGCAGTCCCGTGACAAAATTTCGCAGCCATATTCCCTGATTGGATGCCTCATAGCAAGCTACAAATTCTGCTGCCATAGTGGAGGAAGCTACTAGTGTTTGTTTGACACTTTTCCATGATATAGCTCCTCCTGCTAACATATAAATGTAGCCTGATGTAGACTTCCTGCTATCTTGGCATCCAGCAAAATCAGAGTCCGAATACCCAATGACCTCTAATTTCTCTGATTTTCTGTATGTGAGCATGTAATCTTTTGTTTTCTGAAGATACCTCATAACCCTTTTGACTGCTATCCAATGATCCATACCAGGGTTGCTTAAGTATCTGCCTAACATCCCAACAATGTACGCAATATCCGGACGCGTACATACCTGAGCATACATTAGACTTCCTACAGCCGAAGCATAAGGAATCTTCTGCATTTCCTGAATTTCAAGGTTACCTTTAGGGCACTGATTGAGACTAAACTTGTCTCCTTTAGCAACAGGGGTGTCACCTGGTCTGCAATCTTGCATGCCAAACCTTTTAAGTACCTTATCGATATAGCTCTTTTGTGATAATCCAAGAATACCCCGAGAGCGATCTCGATGTATCTGGATCCCTAATATAAAAGAGGCGTCCCCAAGATCTTTCATCTCAAAATTCTTTGATAGAAATCTCTTGGTTTCGTGCAACATGCCTATATCATTAGTGGCAAGCAAGATGTCATCCACATACAGAACCAGAAAAATATACTTACTCCCACTGAACTTGTGATATACACAGTCATCAACAATGTTCATCTCAAAACCGAACGAGATAACTATTTGTTGAAACTTATGATACCATTGACGAGGAGCTTGCTTGAGTCCATAGATGGATTTCCTTAATTTGCAAACCATATTCTTTGGGTCTCCTGACACAAAGTTTTCTGGTTGCACCATATAAATCATCTCATCAATGTCTCCATTGAGAAATGCAGTCTTAACATCCATCTGATGTAACTCAAGATCATAATGAGCAACAAGTGCCATGATTATTCTGAAAGAGTCTTTCGATGAAACCGGAGAGAAAGTCTCTGTATAATCAATGCCTTCCTTTTGAGTATAGCCTTTAGCCACAAGACGCGCCTTATACCTCTCCACATTACCGTTTGCATCCCGCTTGGTTTTAAAAATCCATTTACAACCAATTGGTTTTGCACCTTCTGGCAATGGGACAAGTTCCCAAACCTTATTGTCTTGCATAGACTTATACTCTTCATTCATGGCATCAATCCACTGTTGAGAGTTAGAACTTTTCATGGCCTGAGAGAAGTTGATTGGATCATCTTCTAACATTCCACTACTTTCCTCATGTTCTTGGAGAAATACAATATAATCATCCGGAATAGCATTTCTCCTTTCTCTCGTGGATCTCCTTAATGGCACTGGTTCTTGAGGTTGTTGAGTTTGTTCTTCTGGAACAGGGAGTTGTTCAACATTATCATCTTGAGGTTCCGGATTTACTTCTTGAGCAACAACAGGTATAGGAACCTGAATATTGTCAAAAGTAACTGTATGGATTGGATCTGAAGCCAATTCCTCCTCAAAACTAATGTCTCTAACCTTATTTCTCCCCCCAAACTCAACATCCTCAAAGAATGTTGCTGTTCCCGTCTCAAAAATATTCCTTATAGTGGGATCATAAAACTTATAGCCCCTAGAGCGATCAGGGTACCCAATAAAGTAGCTGCTAACTGTTTTGGAGTCCAATTTCTTTTCATTTGGCCTATAAGGCCTTGCCTCAGCTGGACATCCCCAAATATGTAAATGCTTTAAACTGGGCTTTCGACCAGTCCAAAGCTCATAAGGTGTTTTAGCAACTGCTTTACTTGGTACTCTATTCAGAATGTAAGCTGCTGTCTTAAGTGCTTCTCCCCAGAGTGACTCTGGTAAAGAAGAATGAGCAATCATACTTCTTACCATATCCTTAAGAGTCCTGTTTCGTCTTTCAGCTACACCATTCATGCTAGGTGAACCCGGCATAGTGTACTGTGGGACGATACCGCATTCCTCTAGGTATCTAGCAAATGGTCCTGGACGTTGTTCACCTGAACCATCATATCTACCGTAGTACTCACCACCACGATCAGATCTGACGGTTTTAATTCTTCTGTTGAGTTGATTCTCAACTTCAGCTTTATAGGCTTTGAACATGTCCAGAGACTCAGATTTTTCATGAATAAGATATAGGTGCCCATAACGTGAGTAATCGTCTATGAATGATATAAAATATTGTTGACCATTCCAGGATTCCGTAGGGAATGGCCCACAAATATCCGTATGTATCAATTCTAAGACATCCGAAGATCTGTTGGCACCTAATCTCTTCACTTTGGTCTGTTTTCCCTTGATACATTCAACACATACGTCGAAGTCCGAAAAATCAAGGGAATCCAAAATGCCATCAGACACAAGACGCTCAACTCTACCTTTTGAGATATGACCTAAGCGCTTATGCCATAATGTCGCCGAATTTTCCTTATTTAATTTACGCTTAGTACCACGTGATTCCACATGCAAGGATTCATTGTAAGAAGCAATTGTATCAAGCAAATATAGGTTGTCATAAATACTCAAGTAACCGGTTCCCACAACATTTGAATTAAAAGATAAACTGAATTGACTGTTTCCAAATGAACAAGAATAACCTGATTTGTCCAATACAGAAACAGAAACCAAATTCCGTCTAAAAGACGGTACTACAAAAGTATCTTTTAAATCCAAATAATAACCAGTTCCTAACAACAACCTAAAGTGCCCAATTGCTTCCACATCTACCGATTGTCCGTCGCCCACAAAGATGTGTCTTTCAACATCACTTGGCTTTCGGTAGCTCAGGCAACCCTGCATAGAAACACTTATGTGAGTAGTAGCACCAGAGTCTAACCACCAAGTGTTTCTAGGTACTGAAGCTAAATTAACCTCAGAACAGACCAAAGCAAGGAACGTACCCTTATTATCACGCCAGGCGTGATATTTTGTACAGTCCTTCTTTACATGTCCAGGCTTCTTACAGAAGAAACAACCCTGATTATCCTTATGTTGTTTCTTCTCAACTGGACCCTTAGCAGCTTCCTTATCATTCTTCCTTTTCTTGCCCTTATCCTTAGAGGCATAGGCCAAATGAGCACTTTCTGTCTTATCTTGCTTCAACCTGTCTTCTTCTTGCACACAGTATGAAATGAGCTCATTTAGAGTCCATTTCTCCTTTTGACAGTTATAACTGACCTTAAATTGGTTAAACTGTGCAGGAAGAGACAACAAAACCAGATGCACTAATAACTCGTCACAAAGATCGAGTTTAAGTGCCTTAAGCTTTGAAGCAATATGAGACATTTCCATAATGTACTCCCTGATATTTCCTTTGCCCTTATACTTCATTGAAATCAAGCGAGCTAAAAGCGTGCTTGTTTCTACCTTATCGTTTTTCGCAAAACGCTTCTCAATTTCGGCAAGGAAATCTTTAGCCTTAGTAATCCCTTCGGATTCTATGCCCCTGAAGGCTTCCGGAACGCCGCGCTTAATGATCATAAGACTCATGCGATTTGAACGCTCCCACTTCTCATGCTCCTTCTTTGCATCAGGAGTGCTATCCGCATTGAGAGGTTGGGGTTGTTCAGTTCTTAATGCATAGTCAAGATCCATGCAGCCAAGAACAATTAATATGTTCTCTTTCCAAACCTTGAAGTTTGTCCCATTTAGCATGGGAATTGAGTTGATGTTTTAAATCAACTGAATTTTCAAAAACTTAATTGGGGTCTCACAGCTTAATTAGGGCCCATAACTTAATTGAATAAATTAAGTATACCAAAGTGGACCCATGAAAAGCCGAGGCTTAACCATAATGAACACGAAGTTCCCTTAACTTCGAACGCGAGGTTCGACTGTATTGAGTACGAAACTCACTTAAGCACGAACGCGAGGTTCGTCTGAAAATGAACGAACGCGAGGTTCGTTTGATAAAAGAACGCGAGGTTCAACTTAGGAACGAACGCGAGGTTCGTTAAAAAAAATGAACGCGAGGTTCAACTGAAGTACGAACGCGAGGTTCGTTTTAAAAAAAATGAACGCGAGGTTCGTCTGAAGTACGAACGCGAGGTTCGTCTGAAGTACGAACGCGAGGTTCGTCTGAAGTACGAACGCGAGGTTCGTCTGAAGTTCGAAACGCGAGGTTCGTCTGAAGTATGAACACGAGGTTCTTCTGAAGTACGAACGCGAGGTTCGTCTGAAGTACGAACGCGAGGTTCGTTAAAAAATTGAGCTTGACGCTCACCTGAGTTGAACGCGAGGTTCACCTTAGAACGAACGCGAGGTTCGTTAAAATTGAGCTTGACGCTCACCTGAGTTGAACGCGAGGTTCACCTTAGAACGAACGCGAGGTTCGTTGAGCGCGAAGCTCGGTTAAAATTGAACAAACGCGAGGTTCGTTTGAGGTAACCACCTCCTTAATTTTCGCCATGAACCCTTAGGGTTTCAAATTGAAACCGCCGCCGACAAACCCAAAAAACCTTTGATTTTTATTTTCAAAACAGATCCAAAATTGGAAAAAATTGAAGGAAAAATCAAAGAAAAATCCAAAAAATTCCCAAAAGTTACTGTTCATCCCAAAAAAATACTTTACTGTTCATCCAAAAAAAAATTCGTTACTGTTCATCCGAGAACATTACTGTTCATCCGAACCCAAAAATTGAATCTTTAACCAGAGATTTAAGATCAAAAACCCAATAAAACTTAAATCCCTAAGAATTAATCAATGTGGCTCTGATAGCACTTGTTAGATCTACATCATAAAACTTGAGATCTAAATGTTAGATCTACATCATAAAACTTGAGATCTAAAACCATATAGCCATGATTAATTCAAAGAGATTAACAAAATCAAAAGAGAGCGGAAGCTTATACCTGAATCCATTGCTTGATCTTGATTTTGGGTGTTGGATCTTCTAACCTTAGGATTCTCTCTAAAACCGAATTTCTCTAGCTAGATGGGGGTGTAGAGAATTAGAGAATGTAACCCTAGGTTAGGGACCATAACCCCTTATTTATAGATGTTGTACTTTTGTAATTTAGCCCCTTAATAAATTACAATTACAACCTGGTATCTGCACATATAACCCCATGACTTATTTAAATACCAAATTAACCCAACTTAATTGATCACTTTAATGGGTTATCCTGAAAGATAGCAATACACATTGATTAATCATATGTGCCCACAAATAGATTTATTAGATTAAATCCAACAGCTTGGACAGCAGAAAGAAAAAAAGTCAACGCAATCCAGACCACCATAAAGACGCTAGCAATTCACGTTCTGTGTTCTAAAAAGGCCTTAGAAACTATACATAATCCCCGATTCATAACACTGCGATATAATTAGGAAAATTTCAAGCAACAGCGCGCATAAAAAGCTGGGAAATGAACCATTTTCAGTAAATTAAAAAAAAAAGATGGTTAGGCAAAGAACGCTTCTTTTTTGATTAGGAAAGATCATTAATTTCCTGATTGGGAAATTAAATTACAGCGATATATAAACTCTCGATCAATCTAAAATTAGGTAGAAAATATATCGAAAGATTTTTTGGCGAGAAAAAAAAAATTTTAAGTCACCTGAGGATCAGAGCGGAGAATCCGGAGAGAGAGAGAGAGAGGGATGAGGAACGAGGAAGCGTGCCCTAATTAGTGAATTTATAACTGGAACAAATTTGGCCCGGACGTTGTGATTAAATTACGAGGCTGCCCTTCTCGCGTCCAGGTTCTTTGGGTGGAGGCGGTAGGGGTAGTTCGGGAAGATCGGTCTTTTTTTCGGGGTCGGGATTCGGCGTGCGTCCTTTCGGCGAGGTACGGGGGCAACGAGGGCAGGGGAAAATATATTTGTATCGAGCAACGTTATACAAAAGCCCCAGAAGTTTGGGTAGTTTCGCACGAGACCCCCTGAGCTTCTCGTATCACAAGACCCCCTCTAACTTTGGGGGTTCTCGCCAAACCCCCTGAATGAAGTTATCACAGCTGACTTTTCACCTTTTACCTGCGGTTTGGCAGATAACTTGATATTTACAGGCAACGTACCCCCTCCAGCGATGATCGAGAGTTCTCCTCCCGGTGAAATTTTAAACGTCGGTCGTGGGGTCGAGAGAGATGTCCCAGAGTGAAGGGGGGGGTTTTGTGAAATTGACCCAAAAAGATTCTTAACGGGGACCCGTCTTTGGTAAGTAAAACTTGAGAAAAAAATTTATAGAAGAAATTTTCTAAATACTCTCATTCATATTTTTTTTTTGACCATTTTGAATTTTATTTACAAAAATAGACTCATTTTATCTTAATTCGGTTCCTAAATAGTCAGGGTTGCCAACCCCGACTATTTAGAAGGTTGTAAACCCCCAATTATAACCCTAAACCCTAACATTCTATGCACTAAATAGTCGGCATTGACAACCCCGACTATTTAGGAACCGGATTAAGACAAAATGAGTCTATTTTTATAAATAAAACTTAAGGGGGTCTATTTTTAGAAAAAAAAATGAATGGATTTATTTTAAAAATTTTCATCAAATTTTATTTGTACGGCAGCGTACAGAAAGAGTGCTACGATAAAACTTGATAATTTTCAGTTTTTTTCTTGTTTTCTTTATGGTTTAGACTTTAGAACATTCCATTCATATTCAAGATATTCTGATAAAGCTTGCATTAATTAACAAAAGTTTTCATGTGGTTAAAACATGAATTGTTCTTTGTTCATTGTTCATTGTTCTAACTACAAAAGAAGAAATGATGAAGGAAAATAAATTCTCCAAAGAATAAAATTGTTACTTCTGGTTAATATTTATGCAGCATAAACAGAGAGTACAATGTCTCTATTAAGTTCTTGTTACGTAACGAGATAGTATCTGACGGATTGCCTCTTTGATATGTTGTCATTTTTGCGTAATTGAATATGATTTGAGTTCTATCATGATAAAAAAAACTTGTTCTCTGTTCGAAGCAGGGAAAGTTACAGCTGTGAGAAAGAATTGTTTGATTTCGCAATATAAGGTCCTCTTCTGTTGTAAACAAGGTTAAGAGGTTAGAACCACCCGCGGGTGGGACTCTCGGTCAGCAGCACCATGGGGGAGGATTCGCTCCCTAGGCCTTCGTGCCCTGTTGGTTGGGAGTTCGAATCCCCGTCGCCGCATTCACCTGGTCTCCTTTGGTTTAAGGGTGGGGATGGAGACCCGGGGTTTTACCCTGTTGGTAGGCCAGCCGGTAGATTGGGGTCTGGTTGGGTCGTATTGGTCCACACACTGCTCTCCCTGTGCAAGTAGGTCACGCTGGTCCTGGCACGTGGGGATGAGCCCCCTAAGAATAATTGGGCGAAGCTCCTTGCAGTTGTGGGGGGATCGGGGGACTCGATCTGTGGTCTCCGCCAGACCCAAAAGTGGGGCGCTGGAGTGCTAACCGGGGTTCCCTCGTTACCAAAAAAAAGGTTAAGAGGTTAGAGATTGAAACACTTGTCGAGCCTTGTTATAGGAGACTGGAGTTAAAGGTGCAAATTTTCTTGGTTAATAAAGAAATCCAGCAATTCATGCATCTTTCGTATCCTTTTATCTTTTTAATCGTCTCTTTTTCGGTTCGAGGTGAAATCCCATTTGCGTGAATGATTCCTTTCATATTAGTTTGAGCATTTAGGTCCTAAAATGTGTCTAAGCGCAATGTGGCGCAGCCTTAATTGTAGTCAAGAGGAAATTGCTATAACAAAAAGGCTAAAAATCATTAAAAAAAACCCCTGAACTTTCAAATTATCAGAAAACCAAACCCCACTTAAGTTCGGGCTTATTAGAAAACCTAGATTCTATCAGAAAATCCGCCTAATTTGCGGGAGTTTTCCGATAAAATCTTAAAGTTAATGGGAGTTTCAGATAAAATCTCAAACCTAGCTATTCAATAAGGGGGTGTTTGGTTGCATTGTTTTTGAGAAATGTTTTCTCAAAAGTACTGACGCATGGCATTTATGTAATTAAGAGTTTTCTATACATTTTTATAAACTGTGTTTGGCTCCAAAAAAATTTACAGAAATGTTTTCTGTAAAGTGCCCAAAAGTACCAAATTTTATGAAAATTGATTTCCTTCTAAAATGGGAGGAAATCTCTTGGAAATCTGACGCATTCATTATTTAAATAATAAAACTCATTAACTATTTTCTACAAAGTTCTCACTTTTCTATAAAGTTGGTGCTGTTTGGTTACATTTCTATAAATTATAGGAAATGTTGCTATTTTCCCAAAAGTTATTTCTCATTTTCTTGTTTTGAACCAAACAAGCACAATACAAAAAATAAGAAAATTTGTACTTTTTAACTTCTCAAAACTTTTCCTATAATTTTTTTTAAGAAATACAAGGAAATCAAATTTGGGATAGAAAACATTTCCTATAATTTATAGAAATGTAACCAAACACCCCCTAATCCCATCACATTCATCCAAACAGGTTAACAGTATAAAATGACAACATGAGGTCAAAAAATTATAATTTATATACATAATGTTCTTACATTTTGGCTGTATAGTCATGTGAAGGGCCATAATGGACTTCAACAGCTCTAGTTGCTGATCAGCAGACACAACTCCGAAAACATTGAATCCGCAAAGAATGTTTATTCAAAGGGCATCAAAGTGGGAAACTAAACAATTTAAGTAAATCAATTCCAATTGTACTTCTGAGGTCAACTTGAAGCACAACCACAAAAGAGTAAGTAAATAAATAAGCTCATTATGTAAACCCAAGAGATTTAAGGTTAGTTTGATACTGTTGGATCTTATAATAAATTGTTTATATAAACAGCTTATAAAAGTAATACATAAAAACCGTTGAAAATAACTGTTTGATAATCATATATCAAAAGCTACTACCAAAAGCAGTGGCGTTTGATAAAACCGTAGCTAAAAATCATTACAAGTGGAAATTACAAAAATAGACATATTTAGTTATCAAAATAGACAAAACACGTTAAAGATATATAAAATGTTGGGGAATTTTAGTCCCCCCACGTACAACGATCTCCGCAACTCGAAAGCTAACCCACAATTAATAAGATAGAAAACAACCGCAATCAAGAAGAAATAACACCGAGATTTACGTGGTTCGGTCGACCAACTTCGACCTATGTCCACGGGGCAACAATACGAGATATCCACTATGTATCAGGGAGAACCACAAGAGGAACCACTCAACTCTCGTCTCTCAATCTCTTAACCTCACATACATAATCAACTCTCATATTCTCTCCGAAGCCCTCTCCTTACAATCTTTCGAACAGACAAAGACTGTAAAACCCTCTCCTAATGATGTAATCTTTTGCACGGACAAAGACTACGAAACCCTTATCTCTTGCATAATATTTTTGAATCAGGTTACGCCCTCTGCGAACCCTAGATACAAGAATATTGTCTCTCTCCTTCTCTCTACTCTCATTGGTTTTTCCCCCAACAATAGAAGAATATATACAAGGAAATCAAAATCATATCTCTAACCTAACTTCCTAATTAGAATAGGATTCAAACTCCTAATCATGATGACACTCAATCTCATAATCATGATAGATCTCTAACCCTATATAATTCTCATGAAGCTATACAAAGAATCAAAAACACAATCTTAACTTGCCCGCCAAGTTAACTTGACCTCTAAGAAAACTACTAGGATTAGACCTAGCCTTCAAACCCGCATCCGACTTGAAGCTTGAGTTAGTACCCAACATAAAATAATAATGTCAAAAGCTAAAGGATTAATATGAAATTACAACTACAAAAAGCAAAAGCTGATTTTAAAGACATCCTTATGCTGCTTCTAAAAGCACTCCTGAAATATAGGAGCAGTTTCAATAAGCATGTAAAATAAACTTTTACCAAACACCATTATTCACTACTTCTTGAAAAAATAAGCATAAACAACCTAAAAAACAATACCAAACTGATCTTAATCAAAAAGCTCCGAGTTCGCAGTGATGCACTCAAAAGCCGAATTGAAGTAGTACATTTCTTGAGAGAAAGATGATGATAGTAATAACAATAACAGGAGCTATAATCAGAAGAACAGAGATCACAACTTTTTTCCTTTGCACAAATAGACTTCTTATGTTCTCCATGCTCCAAATATGATGATACCGCCATCTTTCTCCTCACGTTAAACTTTCAATTTAAAGGTCAATCAGAGTCAAATATATGTAAAAAAAATTATCCCACATAATCCTTTACAAAACTATACAATTTTCCCTATAAATGTTGTTTTATAAAATGTATATAACATAGGACTAGACAAGATACACCCAAAGATGCCAAACATTTAGGCATCCATCAATAGAGAACCAAATATGGATGTAAAGAGTCTTGCTGAAAAGCAATCAAAAAAAAATAGCACATCATAAAATACACAAAGGAAATAAAATATTGTTGAAAAGATTTAACAAACTTTTTTTTGCATAAATAAAGATTCAAGTACATGATTTTCTTTTTCCATGAATGAATCAATTGTACAGATATCGTCCAGAACATTTAAAAAAAAACATGACACAGAGAAACCACACCTCCTAATCCTTGAGTTATCTCCGAAAAATTAAGCAAGCATATGCTTCTCTAACTTCTTTAGCATACTAAATACATAACCTTGCAGAACTATGAAACTCAGTCCAATTCCCCGAAAGTTACTGACATCCAAAAAATCAAGCGATGCATGACCAAAAGGCCAGTCCTTCCATAACCAAAGCAAAATTAGTTTATTGATGTTCTTTAATCGATCCCCCATTTTTTCACAACTCGTTCTTTGGCAGACATCATTACAGGGTATGCTGTTGTAACTGATTCCACTCTAGAACCAGACAGAGAGCTCTGTTTGGAGATTTTGGACAATACAAATGTGAACCAATTTCTCATACCTCGTAACACGAACAGAATCGAATTGGAGACTATAGCAAACATGACGCCTCCCTTTGCAAGCAAGAGGTACTGTTATAATCGTGAAGAATTAGCTCTTTGAAACCCAAGGAATTAATATAGTTTTGAGTAGAGATTTGAAACTAGGCTTTAGAGAAGGATCACTTGTGGATAGACCCCTGTAGAGTTGCTGTTTAGAACTTACAAGACCTTCTAGTTTTATTTTGCATAAATTGCACATAACCCCCTCATCTATACCTTTACTTGCACCAAACCTCCCTCAAGTCACTTAGCCGCCTTAAATTCATAAGAAATAGGGATGTCACGTGCAATTTATCTTTCTAAAAATGACATTTCATGGTTGCTAAGTGCTAGTAAATGAGTTGAGGGGTTTTTAGTTTGGGTATAGAGTCGTTTAGAACTTACAACCCTCCAATTTTTATTTTAAGTAAATTTTACAAACACCCCTGATCAAGGCCTTTAGTTGCACCAAATCCCCCTGAACTCAGGCCCTAAATTCATAAGAAAGAGGTGTGTCACATGCAATTTACCTTTCTAAAAATGGCATTCAGGGGTTCCAAGTTCTAGTAGATGAGTTGAGAGGATTTAGTGCAACTGAAAAAATAGAAGAGGAAGCTACGTGCAATTACCCTTTTATGTTTGCAGATAAACCCCGTGAATGGATTTTTTTATTACTCTTTTACCCCTAGAGAAAGGGGGAAATGTTTCTGATAAATAGAACCCCAAGGGCAAGAGAGTAAAAAAAAAACCTCACGTAGGGGCTCTATTTGCAATAATAAAACTAAAGGACAGTTCAAAATAGCGATGCCAGAGGGGGTAAAGACCGCAAGTAACCATATCAAAAAGATCAACATTCTTACCAATGAAATGATGCCGACAATGGTAATGATTGCTTGCTGTGACTCTTCCCAGAAATGATCTCCACCGAACCAGCCGAACCATCCTCCTCCACCAAACCACCCTCCTCCGCCAGAGGTACCTCCACCACCTCTCTCCTCCCTCTTTTCAATTTCTTTATTCCATTTCTCAAACTCTGTTTTCTTTTCTCCAAGAGCGATTTCTAATGCTTTTCTAGCTTCCTCCTGCAACCATGATAATTAGTCATGGTGAACAAAACGAAGAAGATAAACAGCATCAAAAAGAAAATTTATCTCAAACATCTGGGGTCAACTCTCACTATAGTTTTATCTATAAGAATTCATTTCATTGATAACAGATAACCTAACACAAGTCTATTCCTTTATCCAGGCTCACAGTCAGCAGTGAAAGAAACAATAGATCGATTAAAGCACCACAGAAGTGACAAAACAGCACAGGAATAACCCTGGAGGGTAAACTCAGTTCAATATAGGAGGTTTACCATGTGTGGATGTTGTTTGCTTCAAAGAGATTCTCAAAGTTTCTGAAGTGATTCTTCATCGAGCTCTTCAGTTTGTTTCAATTTAAAGAATGAACTGGAGGAGGTTGAAGGGACGTACGCTTTTCCTACATGCTACCTGACATGTTGAACTACTTCTTTGTTTGAATTCAGAGAGAAAAGGGTCTAAAGACGCAGAAAGTGGAGACATGATCGACATTTACATTTTCTATTTAGAAAAATGAAGGTCCTCATACTTAGTGCTTGGTTATTCTTGAGTTTTGAAAGAGTTTCCTTGTGTCAAATAAAATATCCGAAGACACAAACACTATCAAAAAGAAATACTCGAGGACCCAAAAATATAAAACATAAAAAACCATTCAAGATTCAACGTTAGACACAGTCATAATACGACTTCATCTAATTGATTAACAGTGATATGGTTAAGCCTTCACGAACCAAGAGATTCTACCAGCGAGAGATATTCAAGACATCCACATCCAAAAATCTCGGAAGTTCCTGATGAGCATTCCTAGAGTCGCATCATATTATAGCTTCCTAAGTTGCATAGAAGCCACAAAAGAGCTTAAAAATTCAAAGGTTTCTCTTTGGATGAAAAACTGACGTCCCATGCAAAATTTGGGGGTTTTGAAATGGTTTTAGATGCAAGTTTTGCATTTACTATGGAATTTTGAAAGGAACAGTTTCAATTGACGAACTATAATGATTGGTCTTAGATGCGAGTTCGTCGAGTGACACTTTTGATGTTAAGCCACAGTTTTAGATATACACGTAGATTGATGGGATCTATCATCTATGTTCATTCATTATTGTCAAAAGGAAAATTTATTTGTAATATTGAGGCATCAACGTGTAACTACGGATCTTGTGAAATAAGCATTACACATGGCTTTTGACAAGTACATATATACGTACAAGAAACAAAAAGACAGCTATTAAAAGCAACAATAATAAACTCATTGGTCCAGCAAAGTCATCACTATTGGAATCCGCTGTCAATAAATTCTGCTTCTAACTAAACTGAGTATTGAAACGCAAGTAATAGGACATAGAGTTTATACTTGCTTATTAGTATTGAACATAGTTGCTCATTGGTAATAGACATAATTGTCAAGGTGATCAGCAAAGAAGCTGAAGAACCTAAAACTAGACACCAACCTTAATTAATGCTAACCTTTATACAATGTCTGAGTTTGAATTGCTCAGTCCTTTTCTGATGAGTTAACTTCGTATCATCTAAACCTTCATTTGTAACCATGAGTCCCTGATCTAGTGACGTTTCTTACTTCCTTTTGAAAATGGCTTCCAGAATATGGCATCGTTACTAAAGGCTCCTGACTGGCATTACTTTTAATGAGAGACTGATTTACAGTCTATAATAAGCAACTATGTCCAATACTACGTTTACAACAAAGATGTTATCAGAATGCATATTGAAACCCTCCTCCTCAGTTATTGTTAACAGAAGCCCTTCCACTTCATTGCCTACGGCTTTAAGGCAGTGATGCCACTAATCTCCCTATTTAGTCATCCTGTGCTCGGAAATCTTACCCCTTTTTCTTCAGAGACGCCAGATGGAAGTTTCCTTATATGGTTACCGGCCTTCTAGACCATATTCAATACTTCATGTAGCTATAGTGATTTTACCAACAATTTTGACGACTTTTACTAGGTCAATATTTGGCTTCGATATCTAATACATTTGGTTCTAGTTCTTGCACGAATCTAGTTTCATTCTGTGGTAACTAATGTGGGTCTCGGAAACCACTAAATTTCAACATGTGTCATAATGGTCGAGGTGTTACCCATAGCATGTTGCAGCGGCAATAGGCGCTTGCATCAACTTAGTTAAGTTGGTGAATTCAACATGGTTCTCATATTTATCAATTGTATGGGTTACCCGTACTTAATGATAGAATAGTAGAGATGTCAGCTCTAGGCAGCTAATTACTACACTCTAAGGAGGAGTGATACTCTAGCCAAGAAGATAGATGTCAATAACCTTAACTCCGATTTGAAGGAAGAGCTTCTATGTTGCATGCTCATATTGGTATAAAAAAGTTACAAACTCAGCCTTTTCCCCTTAATACTAGTTATCATTATTAGGTACAAATTTCATTTATTCCCATTTTCACATAAGCTAACTTCCTCATCATGACAGAGCTCCAACATAATTTCAGCAATTATACACGCTTGCACTAAAACAGCGGATTAAGAAATCCCAATCGCCCTTAAGTTTCTCTTTTTCCAATTTTACTATAGTAACTTTCAACGGGTTTACAAAAACAAACCAAACAGTCCATTAGAAACACACCATTCATGTGGTTTGTTCTAATTGACTGAAACCTATCGGCACAGATTTGTGTATGGACTAGAATACCATTTTTGTTAGCCTGATCATGAGAAATGTGGGTTAATTTAACTATTAAACATATGAATTTGATGATATCTCATTCATTTATTTTTTGTCATCCACACAACTTCGTGCAATATAAACAATAACCATGTATTCCTAGCTTAATAACTATGGTCAGATCAGAAATTAGCTATGAAAACTCTTGTACTTCTAAACAAGATACTCTGGCCTATTTATTTAGAAGTTTAAAATTATTGATGAGGGTTTGTCCCCTGAGCAAGAGAAACCACTACACAAAAAATAGAGGTGGTGTTGGAAATAGATTTTATAAATTAGTCGATGAAACTTTGCCATTCATCGAAGATGCGTTTCATCTTTCCTCAAGAGACGACCTCGTATGGCTTACATGCTAGATTAATTACGAAAAGCTAATCAAGAATATTTACGTTCAAACAACACAATCAATCCTAGAAGGCGCTAAAAACCTCCTCCTCGACTAGCATCACCTTTTCTCATCAATTCACATTTCAATATGAAAACAGACATGTATTCTATGCCCATGTCCTGATCCCTTTCAGCGACAAAGGTTTCAAGATTCTAGGCGTCTCCAAGATATAATTATAACAGTAGATGTGTAAGCTTGGCAAGTTAATTATTTCAATATGACGAGGAGTGATACCTAGCCAAGAGATATTTGCATTATATCATCATTAGATACAAGCTCCATATATTCCTACCTTATGCATAAAATAAAAATCAAATTTTGTTCATCATGACATATTACACGAGAGGGTCAACGGATTCACACGAGAGGTCAACAAAAAACCCTAGATGCTCACACCTTAAGAGCATCGTGAATTTCAAGCTTCGTTGATAATTAAAAAAAATGGAAAAATCCGGCCTGAAGGGAGCCAACCTGTTTCCTGCCGTCGCGAAGCAGGCCCAAGAACGGCGGCCGCCGCAACCTGAGCTGCGTCCTGAAGGCGGTCCCATCTGGGGTCGGGGCTCCGACGACGGAGGACGACCGAGAGAGTGAACGGGCGGCGGTTTTAGGAGAAATGGCATTTGGGAGCGAGGGGTCGGAGCGTGGAGCTTGAGAAGTAGCGCCATGGAGAAAGATAAGCGCAGAGCTCCTCCCTCTCTCTCTCTCTCTCTCTCTCTGGGAGAGAAAAGGGAAGAAATTTTCAAAATGGCCCCAAATTAAATTTATTTTCCCTCAAAATCTACCCTCTTGTGTTTTTATTACAGAAACAGACTCACTTCTTGGTCACGTCAACACCGTGGTCAGAAAGTGAGTCTATTTTTCTTTAAACACCTTCTTAATTACTGATGTCTAAATTAGTCAAGGTTAGTAACTCCGACTAATTAGGAAGGTGTTTAAAGAAAAATAGACTTACTTTCTGGCCACAGTGCTGACGTGACCTGGAAGTGAGTCTGTCTTTGTAATAAAAACATAAGAGGATTGAATTACAGAAAAAAAAATTAATTTGAGGCTATTTTGATAATTTCTTCGAGAGAAAATTATCTTGTTGAGGTTAATTGTGACCGTTGGATGGCCGGCAGCGTTTTGGGCCGCTCCAGCTCCGGCCCAGCCCAATATGGCTTATTATTATATTCGCCTAGTTAGTAAACAAAGGATAAATTACGGAGTTAGATTTTTTCTTCTATCACCCCCTTTGACAGCAACGAGGCATTTAAATGATGTGTCAGAGTTTAGATGATGTGATATGGATCAAAGAGATGCGAAAAATGTATAATTTTATACTAATGGAAAGTATAAAAAAGTGGGTCCTAATGTCACTTTCAATTGTTGAGCATCCTGCTCTGTCCGAGATCATTATTGCAGTCGTGAGAACTCCAGCTTTGTTCAGATACTGCTCAGTTTGGATTTCTTTTGCAATACGAACGCATGAAACTGTTTTCCGAAAGAAGCAAAATATCAACGAGAAATCGGTCGAATTTCTCTCACGAAACTGTTAAAATTACAGAGGAGCATTACAATTTAATATTTTATGGTTGTTGTTACACAATAAGATGTTTGCAAGTAAGTAGTAAGTCAATACTTGAGGCAGATTTTAATAAAGTTACACAATAAGATGTTTGCAAGTAAGTAGTAAGTCAATACTTGAGGCAGATTTTAATAAAAAAATTTCCTAGATTATGACTAATTTCCCAACTACTACAATTAATTCTCGTAGAAATCATGATCGAGAGAGAGAGAGAGAAACAAAAAAAGAAACATATCAGCTGATACCATGCATACACGACGGCTAATGCAATTTACAAACCGATATCTGTTGCAAGATTGAGCTGGAGCTAGTTTTCTAATTGTGATTCTCAATGTTGTTGTGATTTCTAATAGAATCCTGATTGTATTAATTAGAAAGGCTGCGGGGTTTTTATAAGTTTTGGACCTCTCTATATATATATATCGACCCATAGCTAGTCAGCAAGAGAGAGAGAGAGAGAAGTCCTCATGATGGCTCTCAACACCTCAGGTTCACCTCTTAATTCTTTTATCTTCATGATTCTAACTTTTAAAATTTTTCTTGATCTTCTGATCGATAATCGATTTTCAAAACTCTGACAGGTATGACGACCTCGAGCATCGGAAAGCCTTTGTCCGGCCTCTCACTCGAGCACGGCCGCCCGTGCTCCGCAACGGGAGGTTCTACCGCCTGGCCAGCGACGGAAGCCTCGCGACGTTCGACCCCTCCCGGGGCGAGTGGCGTGTCCTCGACAGGCCGAGCCCCGTGCACGATGGCGGCGACGTTCTGCGCTGCTCCCTCGTTGAGCGTAACGGGAGACTCACGTCGGTTTTCGTGGAACGGGAGAGCCAGTACGTTAGCATGTTCAGGCTCGACGAGGAGGAGAGCGAGTGGGAGGAGGTGACTTCGTTGGGCGGCGGCGGCGGCCAGGCGCTGATCGTGGGCTATCCAGAGATTCTACTTCGCTCCTCAATCTAAATCTAATGCTCACCGTACCTATTTGCACTCAAAAGAAAAAAAAATCACAACCATCAACTAGATAATTAATGGTTGTGATTACGTAGCGGTCTCCGTACTATTTTATTCGGTTTATTGGTTAAGCGGCGACTTCTCTTAATGGCCTATTTGTTTTGGTCAAGGAATGCAATTGAACTTTTTCCCTCCGTATAATTATTGAAATATTTGTGGGAAAGACAGTTGCCCTAGAAGTGCATTCGAATAAAGTTTGCAGGATTCCGGACATACATTTTATTTTTGAGAGAACTCTAGAATTTGGAAAGAAAAGAAAATTCTTCTCAATTTTGTATATGCATGTTAAACATAAATTTAAGCGTCAGAGGTGTATCTGCACATAGCTCTTTGTTATATTCTAAAACTAAGTCATCTTGAAGAAATTACAATCAAATCTGATGTAAATAGATGACCATTTTAGAGGACTAAAATTGCAAACAATTCCCTTGTGTGTTCTCCGGCCTATTTCTAGCTCGCAATCCAATAAGGCTTGATAGCACTTAAAGTACCATATAGTTCCCTCTACTTTGCACTTGTATACCCTCAATTGTTTTTAGCGGCACTTTATACCTTAAAGTTTTTAAAATTTACACTTTAATACCCTCAATTATGTGGGAATGAGAATTTCCCCAAATTTTTCATACGGCCATCACATGCCAATTTTAGAACACATTTTAGCTCTTAATAATCGTTAAATTCACCATTAAACCTATCGAAATTCCATTTAACGTTAGAATTAGAGTAGGTTTAAAATGAAAACGCCTAATTGCTGAATGGGTAGGTTTTTAATACCAAAAGGTCATCGGAGAAAAAAAAATGCCAAACTGATAAAGGATGACTTATAAAATATACCAATTTGATAATTTAATAAAAATAAGACCTAAATAGGAACAACATAAAAGCTTAGTTTTCTCTAAGTCAGCCCTTTACATTTTACATATTATGAAACAGTCCCCCAAATCTTGAAGTTTCTATTCAGTTTTTCAAGTCTTACAAGCTGTTTAACAATTAGTCCCTGAACCCAACTTCACAATGAGGTACTATTATCTTAAATTTATTACACGTTAAACGCGGAGATTTTTTATTTTGAAAAAAATAAAATCAAAACAGATGGTGTCGGTGAAGGATCAAGGATTTCTACCCCAATCGTGTCTCGTATCATTTTATTATTATTATTATTATATTTGGAATTTATATTAATAATTTCACAAATTTATCCTTCTTTAGTAGTGTGCTATGCTAATCTCAGTAGTGCCCTTGAAAAAGAAATAAATATGTGGTTTTGCCATCGTTAATGTATGGAATCACACAGTCAAATCAAAGAAGTTAATTGAATTGATGGAGGTCCTCTAACTCTCCAAATGAGTGGTAGGATGGTAACTTCGGCCGAGCATGGGCTGACAGCCAAGTCAACTTTAACTATACATATGTCAGCCGAGCAGTTGAGGAGAGGTCACTTTGGTGTTTAATGCCAAGTAACAGGGGGCATGTGGTGCTGACGTGATCTGATGTGTCATAAATACTATTAGGGGCAGAAGAATAATGGGGCCTATTGAGCATTTAATGTCATTTATTGCGAGGTGATTGGTTATCAGTGCACATGAGGGGGCTCGAGGCTCGAGGTATTTCGTCGCCTTTCTACTCTTCGGATGGTCAAAAAGTATCGCCTTTTGAGTTGCCCTCGCAAGATGTCGGCTGATTGGTCGGCCGAGTGGAGTGGTTAAGCAGTCGACTCAGCCAGGAGACGACACGTAACGCCTTTCGAGTCGTCGACATGTGACTGAGATTGAGAAATTTCAGGGTATCAAACGTCAAAGTTTTTTAGGTATCAAAGGCTAAGCAATTTTAGCAAACTAAAGCGAAAAAAAACCTAGACTACTTTTACAATGGGAAAAAAGAGTTAGCTGAAAAAATAGCTAGATATAAGAAAAGCCCCCTTAACTTTGGGTAATTATCAGACAACCTCCCTTAACTTTGAAAACATCAAGAAAACCTCATTAAGTTTATGGATTATCAGAAAAGCCCTTTTTAACCTTGATATTTTTTCAGAAACTCCCTAAAAAATGAATATTTTTGGGGTTCTTTTCTGATAAAATGTCAATGCTGAAGAGGAATCTGTAAAATGAAAATTTTCTGATAACCCCTACAATTGATCGGGTGTTTTCCGATATTTTCAAAGTTAAGGGGGGTCATCTGATAATCGCCCAAAGTTACGGGGGTTCTTATAGTTTTAGCCAAAAAAGAATCGACCTTTTTTGCTCTTTTAGGCTTTTAGCTCCTCCCCTCGTTTCTAAGGGAGCGAGCGTGGCACGCGTGGAAGCCTCACAACGTTTCTCCTTCGAACGGGTCGGGTCGGGTTAAAAACTCCCTTATAACCCGCATGGGGCTTCAGATCCGTGCTCGGCACACAAAGCTCCCATCATCGTCAAACGACCACGAAGAACAAAATCCAAAACACACAAAAATTTCTCCAGCGATGTCGACGAGATCCGCGCTCCGTCGCCTAACTCCGTTCATCGCCGGCCGAATCCGTCAGAACTCGAGGCTCCTCAGCTCCTCCTCCTCCTCCGCCGCCGCCGCCGACGCTTCTTCGTCTCCATCCTCCTCTGAATCTCAAGAAGAATCCATTCATTTGACCGAGAGCTGCATCAAAGTAAGTTACCAGGTCCCAAAACCCTAGATTTCCCCCTAAATGTCCTGTATTTCTTACGAAGATGGTTAGGATGACGTTAATACCCCCTTTCCATTTTTGGGTGTGTATAGTGGTATTGGGGGCTTGGTTGTGGTAATTTTAATGAAGGAATGGACTGATACGTTTAATTTCGACGGGTTTAGGGTTAAATAGCTGAAAGAAGAAGAAAAGGTAAAAAAATTTATTATATTGAAAATGCAACTAAATTTTTTATTCTTTTTTTTTCAGTGGAATGCGTTTCTTTTTAGTTTTTGGTAGTAGGAATTGATGAATGAACGGATGAAGTTAAAAGCTTTTTGAAATTTTTATCTACGGCAAATGGTCGAACAGGTGGTGCGTGGGTGGGTGGTGTTTGATTCAGATATCATTTAGTAAAGCGGATAGTGTTAATTTACTAACTATGTGGTTTGCAATTTTTTTTTTCATTTTATTTTAGGAAATGACGTTTGCAATTTGTAAGAACAAATAGAGGTACTTGCTGTTAGAAAATTGAGAAATGTTTAGAGTATATGAGATATATTTACAAGATTTTCCCCCTTCCCAAAGAATAGAATACATAGTTACATGTTTTAATAGCTAAACATGGAAAACCGACCAAATGAATGCAAGCGACTGGGAAAGAAAAGTTTAGGTTAAAAGCAGGAACAACAGATTAGGATTGTGAGCAATTAATCTTGATTTTCTGTTCATTAATCAAACTCTTACTTGGAAGATTGCGATGACTCGATAAATTAGCTTTAGCAACTCAATCTCAGTCAAAACAAAACCTCTATTCTAAATATTCAACAACAAGCAACAACGTGAATCCTATTCTTCCACTCAGTATTGTTTAGGGCTACCTCTTTCATTTAAGTCAAACACTGCCATATTTTTTCAAACTAGTCCTCTTATATGTCTCTAGTTCTCCTTGCTCCATTAATCCTGTAATTGGCTACATAAGTTGTATCAGTCCTTAAGCTTTTTTTAGGCCTGTATATCATTTCAAAATTTGATAACTGAATTGAAGGAGGAAAATAGGATAGGGGATAGACTTGGCTATGAGCAAAGGATTTGAAAGAGAGTGTCTCATACGTTCAAGAGAGCCGATGATTTTAGCTGATTGGTTGCCCACTTATGATTTGTTGAACACTAAAGATTTGAATGAGATCAGACTTGTAGAGCTAGAAAGGCTTGTAGGGCTTATCACTAGATCATGTGGAGATTTGTAGGGACATATCAGGAGTTTGTGGAGGTTATAGGCATCCAACCTAGTTCAAATTGATTCCAACCAAGTTTCCTTAGGTCTACCTCTCCTCCTTTTTCCATTTATTATAATCTTATCCCTCTCCAAATTGGCTAAGAACCTTATTTTCCATTCAGTTCTGTTATGGCTAAGTATGCTCTCAAATTTCGATGATTAAATTAATGGAAACATATTGAAATAGGAGATGTACTTGTCTATGACTAAAAAGATTCGAAAGTGAGTGTCTGTTCAAGTTGGCCAATTATTAGCCACTTAGAACACATCGAACACTAAGGTTCTAGATTAGGCTTGTAGAGCTAGAAAGGCTTGTAGAAAGGGCCTTCCCACTAGATCATGTGGAGACGCTTATTGATATAAGCAGTTACTGTAAAGGTTATGGGTGTCCAATCTAGTAGAAATTGTGAATGTTGTTTTCGTGAAGGATATTTTGCCTATGCAAATATCACAAAAGAACACTATGCATCACAAAGAGAAAGAACAGGTTATTAGTTATTACACTTTTGGTCTAGAGCAATTCACGTTGAGATTTATAGCTACTGTGGCACTTCATTTTATAATTCATAGAATCAGCTCTGAGGACCATGCTGAAAATGCAAAAATAATTTATCATTTGTAAGTTTACATGTTTAACGCAGCAAAAATTCAAGTATATGGCATAGCTCCTAGAGGGTATTATGTAATCACCTAATGGCGTGTGCTGAAAGAGAGAAGAATTATAAAGTGCGTTGAAGGTGTAACTATGTAATATTAGACTGCTGAAGGTTGAAATATGTAAATTGGAAGTTGATCGAAATCAGTGTAAATTTCTAGAATTTCTGGTCAAGTTTATTGAAGATGAGCTCAGTCTCATGAATCTAACATTATAGTAGGATAATGATTTTCACTTGTAAATATGCCTTATTTTTTGTTCAGCGAAGTATAGTGTAAAGCATGAGAGGACCTGTGTCTATGTTCTTGAAATTAGAACTAGTTATGAACTAAGAATCAGGAATCAGGAATCAGGATACTTCTTTAATGGATATGCATGTGTCCTTTAACTCATCTTGGTTATAATTTATGTGAAGGCTTTAGGACTGCATTTAATTGCTCTGATGGCCTTGGCGACTTGTTTGGTTCTTCCACACACTTCGCGTCTTGATTTATTCATCAGCTAATCTAGTTAAGCATGCGCTTGTACATGTTTATTACCCACTTATACCTGAGTTATTATGTGATAGAAGACTACTGAATCATTATGCAGGTACATACCCTCTTAATTGACAGTACTTATGGGTGCCTTTATTTGTGCATCAAGTACCAAAATAGGTGCATCTTTGACATTCTTCTATCAAATGGGATATTACTAGACTAACATGCGCATACGAGCACAATTAAGGGAGTTCAAACTTTATCTTTGCCAGTTTATTGATAAAATATTAAGGATAATGGATGGAAGAGAAGATTGATGATATGCTTTATATCTACCATCATTTCCAACCTTAGATGAGTATTCAAAATTCAAATGACCTATTATTGTTTAATCAAGTTAAGTTCAAAGTAATTAATAACTATCAAATGAGCTGGTCATTCACTATATTCAGTGAGTACCTACACTTAAAGTGAACGGTAATTGCTTCAGCTTTCGTTATGCCCTGCTCGATCTTGTTAGACATTGATTTTTTTGCACTTTTGGAATGTTTCTATTATTTTCCAAGATAAAAAGATTTGTTAATCTGGGCTATTCTGGTAGAAAGAGAGTGTGTATGCATCCAGGCATGATATCATTCATGGCTGTGCATATGCACACTCTAAACAATCTTCTAATCTGAGGGAAATGTTCTCAAGTATAGCTTCAACCACCTATTAAACATATTTCAGATTTTTATTGCCTGCATTGACTATTATGCCATTGGATAATGCAATAGTTACATGTAGAATAATCATGTTACCTTGTTTGTTTAAGATGTCATGTTGCATCTGTCTTTAAAATGACATATTCCGTGCCTTTGTAAGGCTACCTAGGCAGCGTCTACAATATGGATGGAGAACCCTTTTCTCTTTGGGAGGGCGATGTGGGGGGTCTTTTTTTTTTGTACTGGGGCATTGGGGTGGAAAAGGATAGATGAGATGATTACGTTTTATGATTTTACCATCACCAGCATTCAAGGTATCACCAAAACAAAGTCAGCTTTGAAGCAAAGCTCGAGATAGAGAAGCTTCTTAAAAAAACTGAACAAGTTGGATAACCAATTAGCAATATCCATATACTTGCATGAAGTGCGTGACGTAAAAGAGAAGTGAACTATAGGCTTCAAATGCCAAGTATAATCTTGATTGTTCTAGAAATTATTTATGTTGAAAAAGACCATGAAAATACAAAATGCTACTATGAAGGTTTTCGAAAATAATGAGCTTGATAGTTGATACACTTCTATAGTACAAATCATAGAGACAATTTATACAAGTCACTAATTAAACAAGAGAGGAAGATATTAGCTATTAGTGTCATTGCATTAAAAAAACTTATCAACTGCAAGGCAATCCTTAAGTTCCTTATGATATCAAAAACCAGTTCAATAACAATACAATGAAGATAATAGAAAAAGATGGAGATAAGGGACGTAAAGATAATGTGGGAAAAGAATATGAGGCTTATGGTTGTATGTGTCAATTTATGCTTATCTTTTGAGATATAATGGTTGCAAGCAAGATAAGTGGGAAGAGAGAAGATTAAGTTGAGAAATGAAAGATGTAAGGGACAACAGATAGCAAGGATGCCTATCCAAAAACGTAGACAGGCATTCTTATTGGCAGAATAGTTGCTTGTTGCTTACTTCTTGACTATTGTACTTTATCCTGCAACTTCTTTTTTTCCTCCCTTAAACGGGGCTAGTGTTGACATGGATTGCCAATTTTAGGATAACAAAGGAGTTAGTCGTAGAGACACGGGATAGGCAAATACAAGTGTTAGACATTTGGCATTAGTTATAGGACTCAGGAACTCTTCCCTGAATCTCAGAAATCGTTGTTTAGAAGAATCCATATTGCTGTAGAGAATCTTTGTTCACTATCATTAGTGAAGGCTCAAATACTGGCTTAAGTTGAAGTTTACTGGACTAATACATATTATCAGTATAATAGTAGTATTTACCATGTTGTGCCATGCTATGAGCTTTCATGCACCTTGGGAACTTATTAAGAACAGTATTTCCTAGTGGAAACGTGTTATGGACTAGACGTGTAGACCAATCAACAAGTTTTCAATGGTAAAGAATAATCATACATCAACCAATCTGGGAGCTGAGAGACACCATGCTCTTCACCTATCTCTGGGTGAAGAGCATGATTTTAGTAAGAACTATTTGAACAGCTTTTAGTAAGAACTATTAACGTTTTCCTTCTGGAATTTGTTTCATATATGCCAAATAGTTCAAAACCCAAAAATAAGAATTTATTTATTTTTTTCTTTTTTTTAAATTTACAAATGTAAATATTTTACAACAGTCTTACTTGTTCCTATTTTGTATGTCTTAACTATTTTTTTTCCTTGCAGAGATTGAAAGAGCTACAAGCAAAACAAGCATCTGGATGCGAAAAGATGCTGCGACTAAGTGTAGAAACTGGTGGGTGTTCCGGTTTCCAATATGTCTTTTTACTGGATGACAAAAGAAATACAGATGATAGGTGCTTTTCTAGCTTCAGAAACTACTGTGATCTTTTTATTTGAGAAAGCTTGGAATCATTTTCTTATGTAGGTGTCTTTTGTGTTTTTGTTATATTTTCAGGGTTTTTGAGAAAGGCGGCGTCAAATTAGTGGTTGACAATATCTCCTATGACTTTGTAAAAGGTGCCACTGTTGACTATGTGGAAGAGTTGATTCGTTCAGCCTTCGTGGTTAGTATATTCATTAACAGTGCATTTACATAATGTCAAACTCTCATGTTTAGTTTTACTAGTTGGATTACACGTGCAATGCACGTGGTAAAATTTTTAATATTATTTTAAATTCTAATTATATTTATGGAAAGATTTGTTATAAATTTATTGAATGTACACAATATTGCTAGTATATGAACAAAAGCTAAAAATTCAAACTGTTTGAACAATAAATTTATATTTAGGAATCAATTATGCGATAGTAGAGTGATTGTATTTACAAGGTGATTGATCAATTAAATACTATAACAAGAACATACGTAAAAGTAATGTTTGATGATGTGGATGTAAATCCAAGCTTATGACGTTATAGGCTTTCTATGTCTTTGCACTGATTTCTTTCAAAAGCCATTGATTTTCCTTTCATCTCGAAGCTTTTGACTACACTTTGTGTTTCCTATGTATTTTCCAGAGGTCTTTTCCCTTTGTTTGGCTATCCATTGATCATTAACTATACGGTCTATCGGTTTGCTTGGCCCGGTTGCCTTCTCTTCAACGTGTTGTTCTTCTTTGTCAATAGCTTCTGTGTTTGGTTCACTAATCTCCACAACTCCATTAGAGACGATTAATATCTCATTGAAAAGAGATTGCATAATTTTGTCAATGACCTGGTCGATAAACGTAATGAACAAGTAGCAATCATTCACCAAATACAAGGCTACATAAACCCTATATCTTTTGCTGGATGGATGCATGTTGAGCAAGTAGCAGATGCTGTGATGAGGCTTAGGCAAATAAATAACCCACTTCTTCAGCATCAGAATGTATGTATAGTAATGTTAATATGTTTAAAAATTGTTATGCTGAAAATTGGTTCATACCCAAAACGAAAGCTCAATAAAGAGTTAGTTGACTGGCTTCCTTCATGATTCAAGCTATGCCGACTTGTTATGTCGCCTAATATCTCATTGGATCATCATTGTCATGTGCCTATAGCGAAAAACTCATGACTGTAAGCAAGATGAAAATCAAGCACTCAAGTTAAAATCAAGCACTCAAGTTTTATGGTTAATCACAGATTCTTTTTCTTAATGTGTAGTGATAGCCACTTATCGTCTCTATATTGTTCTATTGGCATATAAACGGCACATTCCTAGATGGAATAATTTCTCCATCATTTGGATGTATGTTACAACCATTCAAATAAGAGAATAGGATAACTTCAATGCAATGAAATGTCGAACAACACTTTGGAGATCGAACTCCTTTAGCATCAAAAGTTCAAAGTACCGCCCAAAAATTTTAGGAGCAGACAACACTTTGGAGATCGAACTCCTTTAGCATCAAAAGTTCAAAGTACCGCCCAAAAATTTTAGGAGCAATAAGTGGCTAATCCCTTTAGATTCTTTAGCATCAAAAGTTCAAAGTACCGCCCAAAAATTTTAGGAGCAATAAGTGGCTAATCCCTTTAGATTCAGGAATTATAGTGGTCATGAAGTTAGCCCTTGGAAATTTAGTGCGAATGGTTGCCTGCTTTAGAGGTGATCGCTATGGTGTCTTCCACCAGTCCAATTTCAGCTTGTAAATGAGAAAACGAGAGGAAAATCTCAAGTGAGAATAATGTAAGAACCTCTTTCTGTCAGGTGAAATAGAGAACAAAAAAAAAGCATTGTAATTTAAATACTAACAGACCTGAGTCAACAGAGAGTAGGAGGCCCCAATTAAAGCCTTCTGATTATTGACTGTTTTTATAGCAAATGACAGCACATTTTTACGTACAATGATGAATACTGTAAAGAAACTTTAACTGAAGGTGCGAAAAAAGAATTACTTACCTATTAAAGGTTCTGAAAGGAGACACTACTTGGGTTCAAGCGAGCCATGACTCAGCTCACCCTCCCCATGGGCAAAGTTGCAATGACACCTCTCGCACAAGTGACGGAAAATAATGACAGTGAATCAGGAAAAAACCTCCATCTTCGTGCTAAGATTGCATCAGTTTGAGGCTGCAGAAAATAATTCTCAGATTGTTGCAAATAGGGAATTCCATGTCTAAAATAAAAATTACCGGGAGCGATACTTACCTCTCTCTGTTTTGGGGATAACTTGCAAACATAGGTACATGTAACTCAATTAACTCCTTGTTCGCAACCCAAAATATGCCATGATTATGGTCTACTTGAATGTCCTCTCATGAAATACTGCAGAAACAATACAAGAGTCAAAAAAATAATGCACAATAGCTAGTTAAAGTTATATACATGCAGATAGCCATACCAAATCCTTGGTTTGCGGGGTTGATAATGAAGTGGATGTCTTGTGAACCTATCAAATCTATCAGTCTTTATTTCCTGAGAAAGTAAACATAATGTGCAAAGAGAAGATAGCATGGTAGGATAAATACAAACAATTAAGTCCAAAAGGGGTACCAGAGATTCAGTTACATGTCTCTACCACGGATGAACTGTTGTAAGTCGTAACAGATTCTGTTGAGATACTTTGGCACCATGGTTGAGAGAGAGCCACCCAAGCCTACAAAAAAATACCACACAAGTAAAACATTGTGTAAATGAGTGCAAACATAAGTTATGTTCTAGCAGCTTTTAGTTTACCTTAAATTCCAACGAAAAGGACTTGCTTTCAGGCACAAGTGGAACACTGTATTTCCATCTCTATCAGTTTCACTGGTGTCAGCTCCTGCCTAAAAGCAGCTTTGACACAGGTTCATCTGCAATCTATGATAAGAAAATACGAAGAAAATAATGTAATGTTATTACTTTTATTCTAAGCACTTAGGGTTATTACTTTTATTCTAAGTGATGATAGATCTATCAAAAGGAAACATGTCTTATCTTCAGCTAGGTAAAGATCCAAATTTTCTATAGTAACCCCATGTCTTAAATCACGCAGCAGTTTGGCTAAATGATGAAATGGCAGCAATGCTGAAGCACCCTCAAAGATTTCTGATATTCACAGTATGGAAAAATATGCCTTAGATAGATATCCGACTTCACGTCCATTTGCATTTCTGAAGTTCCTAAATTCCTAGCTTAACACGAATATTATTTATACTAATATTTAGTTAGGGCAGAAGTTGTTCACTGAGTAGGGAAAATCTTTATAACAAAATCAAAAGCCGAGTTTGAGTCAAAATTATTTACACAAAGAACTTGATACTTTAGGATTTTCATATATGTGGACCCGAACTTAAATATTTGAACGTAAATAATAGAATTTATGATAACACAATCGCACAAAAGTCGATATAGCACCAACCATGAATGTCAATGTCTATGTATGTCATACGACAATAATATATCTAATGTTGATTGGGAACTTTATCGATTCCAATAAGATGTGAATTGGGTCAAATGAGAAAGATCCAAATAAAAACTACTCAAGTTGGAAAATGATTGAAATCTGGATTCTAATCGTTGCAATTAAGGCAAGCTAATTGAATTGGGTCTTTCATAGACAAAAACCAATTCAGATCCTTAATCCTTAATAAATAAAGAACCATCAATAGCAGTCTACTTATTAGTAAATTATTGTGGTTATCCATAAATAGCGTTGTTTATAACCCCAGTATGCAATCGCAGTGCAATTTGGTTTCCAATGGAAAAAACAAAACTGAGGGTTTTACCAAAGATCTGCGTCCCTACCGTGTTAGATAAATCTAAGTAGTTGGTATTTCACTCTAAAATTTTAAATTATTTTAGGCTTCACAACTAAAATCAATAGTTGTGTAGTAGTCTCTCACATAAGTCAACACAAGCTCACTTTATCGTCTCTGTATAGGACTAATAAAGCTATTTTTCTAGTATCTAAACATTGGATTAAAACCTAGAGTACCTCCACAATAAGTGGAAACGAAGCAAAGGAAATATACAAATAGATTAAAGCCAAATATTGATTGCTTTATACTAAAATTATCAAATCTTACTTTTTACTTGTTGAACATGTTTTCATTGTCAGATACCCTCATTTAGCACAGGTTTCACAACGGAACCATGTTTACTTCTATTGACTACTAAAATGAAAAGAATTTGAGTAAAAAGTCATATACTTTCTCAAGTAAGTTCGTTAATGATAGAAAATTTCCAGGTCTAATGGCGGAAACTTTAATGAAATTTAAACTGCCATTACAGAATAAAAATTACTTAACAACAATAAAGTACCACCTTGAGTTCAAGAGAGGAAGTTGCAGCTGGCACTTTTCATTCACACATACGTTGGGTGAATCATAACAGCGACAAATTTCTCTTCGTGCTAGGCTTGCGTCAGTTGAGGCTGCAGAAGAGAATTCTCAGATTGTCGCAAAACATGGAATATTTCATTTAAAGTAAAAGTTACCTCTCTTTGTTTTTGGGATTCCTTGCAAGCATGGGTTCATGTTACTCAGTTAACTCTTCGTCAGCAGATCAAAATATGTTTAGACATTGGTTTGTCCAGTTTTCTTCTACAAGTTCACAAGATTCATTTAATTGGAATGAGCAACAGAAGGACCTATATATCATGTACATTAAAGGTGGAGAATTACTCACATAAGTAATTTCAAAAAGTTCACAATCTACATCGTTTGGCCGAACAAGTCCTAGTGCTGTGTTAAATACAATTGTATGCAATATGCCTGCATTCAATAGATTAAAATTATCTAGAAAAGAAAAGTGATTCAAACTAACAGTTAATCAAAAATATGAAGTAACAGAACTACCAGAAGGCAAGTCCAATCACTAATAAAAGTTGGATACACGAATAATTATAGCATGTAGACTAAATAAAGACAGCTAAAATAAGTGAAACAACATTTGAAAGAAAGATAATGCTAATGTTAGTAATTTTAAATCTAACATTTTGGAGAAGTTTGTATCTATTGATGTATTTCGACAAGATGACTTATCATGATAAATTAGTTTTATTTGCTTGGATGAAGGAATTTTTAAGCAATAAATGTGGCACATATCGATCTGATAAGGTTTTTTTTCATGATACCGATTTGAGATACACCTTGCGCAAGCAACTTCTTCACTCTACCATATGTATAAAGTTTAGACCACACCCATGCGCTTATACAATAAAACCCCAGATTCAAAGTTGTGGTTACTGTTTGCATATAAGAGGATTTCAACTGCTCGTGCAACTTCTACACATCTTAGAGTTATCAATGGTACTATTTTTAAATTCATAAGCATCAGTAATTTCTAATGCCAACCCAGATTCAAAGTTGTGGTTACTGTTTGCATATAAGAGGATTTCAACTGCTCGTGTAACTTCTACACATCTTAAGAGTTATCAATGGTAACTATTTTTAAATTCATAAGCATCAGTAATTACTTTTTATTTGATCAATACTTGCATCCTGTAGAGCCTTAAATACAAGTTCTAGGAAGGTAGATTGCAATCAACAATAGGAAACTGGATTCAAATGCGAGGAAAACAAATTATATTGAAGAAAAGGAAGGCGTAAGTTTTGTCAAAGCACAATAGTGGACCATAAAGAACAAAAAGAAATTACAAGTTGTGAGATTTTTAACTGGTAAACTCCATCCAGTCCTTATGTTCTTCGTCTCCATTAGAAATAGAATGTACCATGTTACATTCCATCGATAACTCATTAACGCAATCAATGGACAATAAGCTACATATATATCAAACGAATACAAAACGATTCTGCCAAATAACAAGATCAAGTACACCACAAATAAAAGATAGCTTTAGCCTGCACAAGTACCTTGTCTTAGCATGTCTTGTTCCGAGATGTGAAAGGTTTCTTTGTCAAGTGTTCTTTTAACTCTATAACAAACATAACAGTAGTAGACCCAATACATTTCTATAGATTGACAATGCTGCATAATTTTGTTTCATACTTCTAACAAATAAATTTCTAATGCATTTCGTTTTGCATCATGTATACAACAATATATACATGAAAATGCATAATCATCTAGACACATGAAAATTCCCAAATTAGCAACCATTTGATTAAAAAACAATGAAAATAAGCACATAAGTACCAAACAAACCAATTAACAGAAGAAAAAAGTCACCCATGTCAAAGTTTCAATTTTGGAGCAAGACCCAGTAACAAAATTGGTGGAAAACGGCAAAATTTGGCAAAAGGCACGGAATTTAAAGATGGTACCTTGGCGGTTTTCTCGGGAAGCAAGATCCCAGCTGAGGTCTTTGAAGGGGGCACGATCTTCTCCACCATAATCCCGTTGAGCGCAGAAATCAAATGGGAAAGAAAAAAAGTTGATGAAAGAATCAATAATCAATAAGATCAATACTCAAAATCCTGTTGAGCGCAGTAATCAAATTGGAAAGGAAAAAGTTGATGAAAGAATCAATAAGATCAATAGGCGCACTCCTGTTAACAGAGCCAGCCTTAACCAAATTAGTTTCCTTCTGAACTCCAGAAACACCAATTGCCAACAATCCATTACTTGACCTTCGATTGCGGGAAGAACCAACAGAGGTCTTGTTAGCACTCATTGATCCAGCAGTAGAACTCCTAGCATCTTCTTTCCACGAAGAACTCATTCTCTTAGTTACCAACTACAGTTCTACATGTGGATGTCTGAGTGCCAGGGGGCTTTGTAATTGTTTCAACCGACCCAGACCGCTTGCCTCCTCTATGAGAAACTTTAGAAAACCCTTGTTTTCCAGGCCATGTCATAGCTTGGTTAGATCTACCAGATTTTGTATCATTGATCTATGCATAAGTATAATCGGCTTCAAATCATAGATAGAATTCGTTTTAAATTTAAAAATCATAGGTAAAATTTAGAAATACCTTCTTCAATGAAATTCCTTCCTAATCCTAACCGATGCAAAAATTCTGAGAACTGAGGAGATGATGGCGGAGGTATGGTGTTGATGATTAGGGTAATAATACTCATCTTTAAGATCGTGGGACGGCGTAACCGATGAACTGAGGAGATAAGCTGAGGAGAAGGGTAACCGATGAACTGTTGGGCGGAGATGGGGCGTAACCGACGGAAAATTTAGGGTTTAACGATTATAAGGGACAACTTTGGTATATTTAAATTGGTTGAAGGGTATTTTGGGGAAGGAAAATTTTTTCATGAACTCCCTCTTTTAAAAGGTAGATGATTTTGAACCACATGTACCATCATTGCAATGTTATCTTTTTGCTTGCATCAGCTGATGAATCGTACTAAAGCTTAAATGCACGCGCATTCTTAGTTTGCGAAGATTAGAAAATCATGTTTATTGAAAAAGAAATGATTAACTCATTTTAACCCGCTTTCATCTTTCTGAACACTGATTGTTTCTCAAAACTTTTTTATCCAAACGCTTGAAAATGCATAGGATTAGCTTAATCTGACTTAAGCTCATATCGGTTCTTTTACTAATTTGGATTTGCTTTCCGTAACTCATTGTTGTTTTATGCCGTTTCTGATGTTGCACATGCTGACCTTTGTTTTTCTTACATTTTGCTTTTTTGCGGGGGCTTTAGAAAAAGAAAATGTTCGACCCACACTGATTTTTTTTTTCCTTGCTTGTAAGGTCGATTTGCATCAATTTTTATTAGATCTGCCTTTCGCGATAATATATCAGCTGCGTATAGTCAAAACATGCTTTATCTATTATATTTCTAGATTATCATCATCTTGGATCCAACATTTTGTCGCCCTTAATGTCGCCCTGTAGTAGTTTTTACCGGTATGTTTGTTAACGCAGGTAGCAACAAATCCTAGTGCTGTCGGAGGATGCAGCTGTAAAAGCTCTTTTATGGTCAAGTAGAGAGTTACCTTCTCGTTGTGATGGCAGCATATATTCATTTCCCGGGAGGGGATGATTCTTGTTGAATTATTATAATAAGATTGACCGAGGATGTGTAATAACGATGACATTTTTGTAACAGGGCCAATTGAGTGTGTATTATTGTGTATAAGCTACACTGGAACAGGATCACTGATCATATTTCATGGCTCGTAACTTTCAGTTGGTCTGTTTACTGTACAATAAAATTTTGAAAGAATACGTTCAGGCATCAGATGCTGTTTATGAGCACAAATGCAATGAAAATAATGCAGTCTGCCTGCATATTACACTTTAATGTTGTACCGGTTGTCTTTCATGGCAGTGTGGATCCAAGGGAATCCAATCGAACGGTTGTAATATCTTAAAAACTGGGTGAATTTCTTAGAGCTTTGGATGTCAAATATAATGTTTGTTACATATGATACCGATTAGATAATGATATAAAATTTCCTCAAATCAAAATGTATGGGAAGAACTTTTGTAAAACTACTAACAGGACAAATTCATAAAAAGTGGCGTGCAGGTACACGATCAATTTTCATTTCACACGCTACAAAATAGCATTTACATATTTCTTTTATAAGATAACTCTATAAATTAGAAAATTACTCATTTTTTTCTAACTTAGATATCCAAAAGACCCATTATATTCATAGTTTTAAACTGGGTATAAGTTGAAATGAACCCAACTTACGTCCAGCAAGTTTAAAAAATTGCATGTGAAGTGTAAGATAAACTATGTATCATATGATAAGAGTATGCAAATATCCAAAGTGCCCGCTAAAGTTTTGGTGTCGGTCACAGATACAACACGGGTACGGCTCCACCTAAAAGTACCCATGCAACATAGAGTATGGCATATTGAAAGGAAAAACACTACAGGCACACCTCCTCCGGCCATACCCCCTCTTCCTCTACAGTGCAGGAGGCCCCACCTAAGATTTTTAAAAAATCTCAGGTGGGCCCCCTGCACTGTAGAGGGAGAGGGGGTGTGGCCGGAGGTGTGGCAGAGGGTGTGCCTGTAGCGTCACCCTGAAAGAAATAAATGAATGCCCCACACACACACAGAGAGAGAGAGAGAGAGAGAGAGAGAGAGAGAGAGAGAGAGAGAGAGAGAGAGAGAGAGGTGTCTTATAATAAACTACTATGCCTGCTTCCAAACAAGGGGGAAATCCATATCAATTGAAAGGTCTCAAAAATGTAATTCATCAAATCTCTACCTTCTAATAAGCTCAAAGAAAACAAAGTTCCAATGGAATCACAATAGTTGATAACATGAAGAAAATAACAGGAACAAAAGCAACAGGAAAATTTCCCCATGACTCGCGGGGTTCAAAACTGCTGGAAGATGCAGCTTAGAAAATTCGGATAGGCTTCCCCATGGTGCTCTTCAGATACAAGCATCTTACCTGAAAAGTCCAATATAGACGATCATAATGATAATCGAAAACACACGAGAAATGAGACTCGTACAAGCTGAAGCAGATCAATTAAAATAACTGAGCCTACTCTACTTTTTTAAGAACCCTTTGTATGATGACTCGAAAGAGCTTTCAACATTAACAACGAGGGTAATTTTAGTGAAGTTGTTAAAAGGATGACCATCAACAGATAATTATAAACCCATTTTATACGAAGAAAGGAAACAACTTACATTCTGCCAATTCTTCTTGAGAAGGGAAACGAGAAAGTTGACACTAAGTTGCACATTCTGAAAGACTTGCTTGTCATCCATAGCACAGTTTCCGACAGCAACACCCATGCAAAGAACTTTCTTCAGCTGGAACTTCACCATGGCCTTGGTCTCATTGACTTTAGACTCCAGCGACGAAGAATTAAAGTTAAATTTCATGATGCATGATGTCAACATGGGACAAAGCACACTGTATGAGCCCATATAAGGCTCATGATGTAAGTTTATTAGCAAAAAAGTACAAGGTGCGGGCAAGGAAATACTTACAAGGAATGGCTCATGCAACAAGAGATCAACACAAGTATAGGCAGTTCATAAAGAAGGGCTTCTGTCATATTAGAACCCCAAATCTCTGTTAATTCTATATTAGACCCCCTTAAATCTCCATATTAGTTTAAAATAGTGGTCTTCTCTAAGAACTTAATAGATTTGGGGATCACATCTACAACTAAATAAATTTAGGGTTTAATTTAAATTTTAACATAATGGATTTGGAGTCTAATTCAAAAATATGATGATTTGGGGTTTAAACAGAGATTTGGAAGACTAATATAGCATTAACAAACATTTGGGGTCTCATATGACAAAAACACTAGAGAGAATAAGGAATTTATTTGACAAGTATATAACATCAATTTATCATGTACCAAAGGTAGCAGATATACTAGTTCTAAACAAATGTTTGGAGGAAAATACAACAAAAGAAACAGAACCTTTATCGAGAATTATGGAAGCAGCTTTATAAAAAAAATTTATCTCTATTTAACTCAATTGAGGGTCAATTGATAAAATCTAAGGATTCCAGGAAGCTACTATGAACCAAAAAAACTACCCACTGAGGCAATCTACCTCTTAAAACATAACTTTTGGAACCCTCGATACTAATTGGTTCAATACACTCAGCGCTTAATAAAAGAGGGAAGTAAAAAGTGCTTGCCTGCCTTGTTGAGGCCAGGGCCAAGGAGACGTGGGATCTGTTTGATGACAGCCTCCGATGCAAGGAAGGCATGGAATTTCTTAGCGAGTTTCTTCACCAATTTCTTGTTCTTGTTCAGCTTCTTAAGGCTCTCAACATCCATGCATTCTAGTCCTATCTTATTAGCCTGGAGGTACAACAATGATATTAAAATAATAATCAAATGAGTAGAGTATAATAAAGTGTTGATGAACATAAAAAAATATTATCACATGAAATAATTCTTCCAACGAATTTCCAAATATGTATTACCTCCTCAACATGTTGGGCATCACCCAGCATGCAAACCTTCATTTTCGGACGAGGAATGTGTGGCAGCCTCACTGAACCACTGAAACGCTTGTCCTTCTGGGGGTCATAGTTCTTCAGACCAATCTGAAGTTCGATTGTTTCAGTAAACTTACGTTTCTTTGTATTAGAATCATTCTTGAGCTGGGACACAGCTTCCCGTAGGACATCACTCTGCAACTTGCTGTAGGAGGTGAAAAATAACATAAGACCATTCAGTGAAAAGCTGTTAACTTTGAATGTCAATCTTAATTTGTTTCAAGAATAACATGGTAACATATAAAAAGAAGAATAGCACCTAATACAAAATAAAAAGTGCATTCTAATATTCTATAATGAGATTGAATAATAGTCTAAAGGGTCATTTACACTTAAATGCCCCAAAGTTTACACCACATTTAACTTAAATATCCTGAATTTTCTTGCCCGAAAATACCCTAAAGTCAGAAAAATGACACCAGTAAGAAATTTTTGAGTATAAAAAAAATCAATTTTGCTTATTTATTGGTCAAAAAACACTATGGGGTATCAAAGTTAAAAAGGGTGAAAACTTGAGGGTATAACAGTGCCAATAACCCTAATCTAAACCATAGAAATTGCGGATCATGAAACAACATATAGGATTCAACAATCAGCTTAATAATTATGAAATAAATTCAAACCAGTGAGAAATATAGACAGATAGGAATAGATGGATCACAATTATCAAAACAAACCAGACATTTTCTCCAACGAAAAACAAAAAATAATCTCTCTGATTTGCATTTTTCTAGCTAACTGTGCAAAATTTTGGAATAAATATAACCTCTGTTACACAATAATTAAGGCTTCTGGCATATTTCATTACAAATCAAATGATACATTGAATTGCCAGTCATTCTCATGTTCATATCTTGAATGCAAATGCTTCAACAATATCTCAGAAAGCATATAAATGTAACGTGCAAGTTTCTCACTATGGCATTCTAATTTTTTATACCAAGAAGTCAAACACAAAAATCCACATAAAGCATGGAAACATAGTCAAATGTGCCCAATTTCTCACTTCAGCATTGTAAATCAAGAAATCTAACACAACATTCCAAATAAAGCATGAACACAGTTAAATGTCCTCAATTTCTCACTTCACCGTTCTAAATCAAGAAACCAAGCGCAATATTCCAAACAACAACACAATGTCAAGAAACTCCAACAATCCAAACAACAGTGTCAAGATGCTTCAACAATTCAAACAACATTGTTTGGACCGTTATGGAACCTGGAGACCGTGTTGCTCGGATTGTTGAAGCATATTGGAACTATGATTTCTCGCTTTATAACAATAAAGCTAACAACAGAGATCAACTTCATTTTCTCACTTAACAAATTTTAATTAAAAAAAATACCCACAACAGATTACTTCATTTCTATGCGTATTAAACCGTCATTTTGTCAACAATCATCAATCTCGTTAGCGTTTCTCGCATCGTCAAGATTATAGAGTGCACACCACACAATACTATGAGAACCAAATCATAATTCCGAAACGGACATCGAAATAATTCATGCGGATATTTAGAATGGACGCTGACCTCATCGTCCTTGTTGGATCTGTGCTCCCTTAGGGTTTCCCTTTTTTTAAAAAAAAAAACCCTTCTTTTTCCTCACCTCGCTCCTTCAGAAAAGCAAAGATTAGAGCGTAGATCGTGAGTAAAACACCGACATTTGTGGAAAATGAACAGATAACGGCGAATGGCGCTGAGAAAACCTAAAGAGAATTAGGGTTTTGGGATCTTACCGAGAGCTGGGAGGAAGGAAATGACGGCGGCGGGAGAAGCTCGAGCCCTAGTTTCAGTACGTCGAGACGTGAATATATATATATATCGCGGAGCCGAGTCACGCGCAGCGCACGTGTTCTTCTTTTTCATAGTTGAAAGGAAACATATTTCCTTCAAATTTTTTTTTTTTTGTATTTCCTTCGCTTTTATAGAAGAAAAAAAAATTATTCGTTTCGAGTTATAAGTAATTTCTATCACTTTTCTAAATTTGATTTAACTTTAAAAAAAAGAAATCAATGTGATGTGTGAAAAAATTCTCTTATTTTCTAGTGTTTGGTTCAAGCTAAAAGAAATCAGGGTTTTGATCACTGTGACGCGCTTACCACCCATGCAGGACAGAATTATTGTGAGCATAAATTGAGGGGTGAACAGACCTATCATCACATTTAAAATTGTTGCCAACATAAATTCGACGGAGCGGTTTCAAAACATGAGCATTTGATGAAGTAATTCAAAAAGCTTAAAACATTTGAAGGGCTATTCTAAATTTGAATAGTAAGTTGCAAGATGTATAAATATTGGAGGGGGTAATTTAGATTTTGAACATTCAACGGAGAAATTTCAAAATCTTTAAATACTTGTGTGACTAAATTTAAATCCGAGACGGCAATTTGCAAAATATTTAAAATTTTGAGAGAATAAATGCAAATTTTTATAGTACTTTAGGTTCTTAAATAAGTGGGTAGCCTCTACCCACATCGAACAAAACAGAACACACACCTGCTTCAAATATTTTTAAAAAGTAAATAATAAAATATAAAAAAATTTGTGCATCCGCTCATCGTTTCATAAAATTTAAAGAAAACTACAAAAAAAGTATACGCGCTCTTCAAATAAAATATCAATCGGTCTCAAACCATGAATGTTTATTTTCATTTTTCAAGTTCACCAATCCCTTAAATCAACAAAACTGTGAACAAATTTCAGACAACAGGACAGCACCAAAAACGTCTGTTCAAATGATTATTACACGGAAATACAAGTTCCAGCAAAATGTGCTATAAAGTTCGGCAAGAAAAATCATGATATAGAGCGCATTCGATTTATTCTGACTGCCTTTGGCCCAACACAGAAATGTCCTCATACCTCTTCTGCAAAAATGGAAACACAGGGTCATGGAACAAAGTTAGAAAGAGGGCGGAAAATAGCTTACGCTGCACCAGCAGCAGTAACCAAGACGAAGAGCTCGTAGAGTGAAGACGACGACTAAGATTACAGATAGTATCAATGGTTGAGAAGATGAAGAATTCGCAATTGCATATAAGAAAGGCCAAGCCTCAAATTAACTAAAGTTTAAACATTAAATGTCCAGGTGAAATGAGGAAAAATATTTAATTTTTAAGTTGGACAGCGTGGAAGCATGGAAGTGAAAAAATAAATGTCAGGGGATGAGAAGTTAGACATCAAAACACAAGCAAGCGTGAGGAGATGACAGCAATCAGTATCAAGCAACATACTGCTAAGGAGGCAGCAGCCAGAAAAGATATACTCGATGAAAGCATTTTTCCGTAAGACTTGACTTGCTGTTTGATACCGATATAGCTAGGTAAAATGGTTACAAACACATGTAGCTTATGCGGGCAAGTGTAGAGTGATTACCCCAACATTGTTGTGTTCCCATAGCTTGTGAACTCCATAATCAACTGCCTGTACCCGTAAACCAAATCAGTAGACAGCCATATCATAGAATAGCATATGCTAAATGTATGAAGTACATATCACATATGACAATATAAAGTACAGCTATGAATCAAATCAATATCCTCATGTAAGAACTGTCCCTTTCGGTGTAAGGGTAGTGGAGCCAATGTGGATTAATTTATACCTTTGTCAACATCAACACAAATATTACATATTTTCACATGCTGGTCAGGAATAACTACAGAAGTAAAGATAAATCGAGCAGAAAACAGCTACATACACAGTTTAAGCGACATTGCATGCTAGCCACCGTGCATAGAGACATGGTTAACTTAAAGCTTATGCAATAGCTAAGATGATTCAGATTTCTGAAAAATTATCAAATTGCCTGTCCGATTGCCCATGTAATGCAGACGGAACTTTGACATGGAAAAACCTACTAAGAATTTACGCTTGAAAGAAGAAGCCACACCGTTTAAGTTTACATATTAGACACTTAATGGGTAGATACGAGATGGATTCACCTATCTAAAAGTTTATCATTAATACAAGGCAGGGTGGAGAGATATTTGTTAGATTAAATTAATATTGAAATATGAACCTAATAAGTTCCATTTGACTTGTGGAACGTTTCTTGTAAACGGGTTCTCATTGCAAACAAACAAGTAACTTTTCCAAATAACAAGCCTGTTGGATGCTAGTGGTTTAGTTTGCAATTCTGAAGACATTTGCGGAAAATAAATGAGTTAAATATTAGGATTGTCATACATTCTTATGCGTTATGATTTATGCTTGCTAAGCTAAGGGGTTTCATCTAAATTACTTCCTCTTCTTTTTCTATCAAAATGCTATTGTATATGTAGCACAAGGTTCCATGGACCGCGTGACAAATATTTACGGCTTTGAAGCTGTTGTCAATCTTATCGTCTGACGTCATGATCCTAGTATGTCATGATCCTAGTATGAGATACTATCAACAATAGAACATGTTTCATAAATTGCAGAAAGAATTTGGTAGATAGGAATACATAAATTATTTAGTCGAACCCTTCAAAACTTTGTTACCCCAAAACAAGATGGGATAAGTTGACAGAACTTAGATAAGGAATCAGCCCAACTCAAAACATTTAAAGTTTTACTCAAAACTCAAGTTCTTAATTCTCATGCACATTTTAGACAGACAGAGATCTACGAGAAACTATATGAAAAAAAAACCTTTTATAATCTAAAGTATATTTAGTAAATAGAGTATCTCCATCATGTTGTATTCTAGTTGTTACATGGCCACACAGGCATGAACATAAATCATAGGATGTGAAATTATGAATCATACCCTTACGGGTGTCTTCAAAGTGGATATTATGACATCTGAATCAGATAACATATCCAGACTGAATTTCAAAATATTGACAAAAATCGAATCCAGTGATATCATGATATCATCAAATTCGTCAAGCCCTGACCAATTACCTAGAAAATGATATCGGTATTTGGTTACATTTAAACTTTCGTTTCGACGTCCAATTTTTTTTTATACCAAATATACTTATCTCAAGTTCATCTTAGCATTATTATAATTATGGTAACTTAGTAATAATACTACAACTTACCACATGAGGAATAAGTAACAGTCACAGAGATTCATGCAGAGAGTATATACAATGAAGCAGATATTGTGCTATTTGAATATATTCCATTTATAAAAGGATGTCTGTTTAGAACCGATGTACGTAAGCTAGATACATACTTGTGACACATCTGTATTAAGGGATCTGAAGACATAGAAAATTCAAATGATATTGGTTCCACTTAGAATCTCATCTACCTGCATGTCCGTCTCTGTGAGTCCATGACCGTCTCTCGTAAACAAAGATTCTAACAGGCTTAAAAGATGGATATGTATTAATATAAATAATTAAAAAGAACAATAACTATGCAATTTTGTACACACCTTTTCATTTTCAGAGACACAAGGAAAAAATGTAAGCATAGTTTTCACAATAGGCTCCCAACATAATGTAGAAAGAGTGGCTCCATTGATACAAGGGATCCAATTTACAAATAATACGATATGTAGAATGCATGAAAGTTCACCAAATCAATAAAGCCCATTTTGAAAACATACTAAATGGTTTTTTTTTATCATTCAGATTCATCACGCGCATATTGTAAGCCTGGAATTTTACCGCAGTCCTTCCCAATTAACGCGGCATGAATTCCCTATACTAGCTACGAATTCATTTCTTAAACACAAAGCTTGACGCGTAGAAGATTCAACTAATTTACCCTGATTAAATACACCAAAAACCATAAAAATCCAAACTTTCAGCTAAATTAACACTCTAATCATAAGCAAATCCCCAAAATTTTCGTCAGATCTGAAAGAAGAAAACCCTAGCAGCTACCGAGCAAAAGACCAATCACATGGCAACTATCAAATAAACCCTAAAATTTCAAAATAACCAAGAAGTTAAATGGTCAAAAGGGTTGAGATGGGCCCACCCTCTCGCCGGCGAAAGCTCCGGCGATGACGAAGGTGACGTAGACGGAGTTCCGACGCATCAGAACCCTGTAGAGCCCCTCCCATCAGGCCTCTGCGCTCTGCCACGCCCGCCAGACGACATCGATTCGATCTTGAGGTCGTTGAATATCGTGTGATTTTTTTCCTTTCAGATTTTTTTTACGTCTGTTGGCGAGATACTGGAGTCGCCTAAGCCTAAAGTATAAGACTGGAATCCGTATGTTTTGTAATATCCTTCTTTTGAGGGCTGTATTTGAACAAAACGCAGAGGGCACTTGTTTGAACCAAGAACGCTCTGTACCTTGGAATTTTGCATAATAATTGGAACTCTCTATTTGGCTCGTGGTTCATATTTGGACTCGCGGTGAACCGCGAGCCGTCAACTCGCCAGTGTGTGTAACAGGGGCGGGCACACCTGTTCACCTATCTGCGAGTTGAGGGCCCCACCTGTTCACCAAGGTACAGAGCGTTTTGTGCAAAACAAGATGCCCTTGCGTTTTTTGTCAAAATAGCCCTCCAAAAGAAGGCATATTTACAAACATGGGGCCCGCCCCCCTGTTCACCTATCTGCGAGTTGAGGGCTCGCGGTTCAACCGCGAGCCAAATAGCTTTTTTGAATAATTTGACCCCCACTGTTTCCCTCTGCGAGTTGCTGTCAACCGCGAGCCAAATAGCTTTTTTGAATAATTTGACCCCCACTGTTTCCCTCTGCGAGTTGCTGGCTCGCGGTCCAACAGCGAGCCAAAAAACTTTTTCGGAATAATTTAGAGGAACTTAATCACAAGATTCACAACTAAAGTGAAAAATTGAATATTATATATAAAATGAAAAAAATACAAATTTTGTCACTTTTTCCCTGAGCAAAGTCGTAAACGCTGAAGCAAGAATATTATATTTTAAGGAAAATATAATTTGAAATGAATTTTGCAAGCTATGAATCTATGAGTAGGAATTCAAGGTCATTTTCCATAATTTTTTTATCTTTATCTATTTTTTCCCTCCCAACTTATATGAATTTTATAAAAGCTACTTGACAGTAGCTTATGACTTGGAGTTGTATAGATTGCGGGTGTAGAATCAGCGAGAAATTTGGTGAAGAACAGGTTTTGGAAGCGCAGGGGAACTATTTGGAAGTTGCGCGGTCGACCGCGAACGTGCACAGGCTCAGGGTGTGATTTTGGATTCGTCGCGGTCGATCGTTGCGGTCTACCGCCTGTACCCTGTAGTTGACTTTGGCTCTGTCAACCGTTACGGTCGACCGTCGCGGTCGACCGCCATATCCTGTATTGGATTTCTGAGTTCTGTTGTTGGTCGCGGTCGACCGCGTAACGGGTCAGGCCCAATATTGGTTTCATGTTCAGTTTGGGTTTAGTGTTTGCTATAAATACCAACATACGAATTAGGGTTTCTTTGGGCTTGGATTGGAGATTGGTTTGGGGATATTTGAGCGCAGAAAAAGAAGAGTTTTTCTGAGCAATTGTTTGAGGGTTTATTTGGAGAGATTAAGAGATTTGTTGGTGAGATTAGTTGATTGGTTTGAGCGTTTTGTAATCTCAGTTTGTACTCTTCTTCTCTATTAGTGAAAACCCAATCCCCTTCTTGCCCCGTGGACGTAGGCAATTTGCCGAACCACGTAAAACTATTGTGTTTGGATTTGTACCGTTGTTTTGATTTGTTTGGCCTTTATCTCGACGTTTGTTTAATTTGGTTCTCGAAGCACGCCCGTTTGGTTGTCACGCTTCCGCACCGCGCACAACAGCAAGCTCTCCGAGTGTTCTCTCTATTCCCTTCTTAATATATATATTTTGAGTCAGAGTTATTACTCTTCTCAATCTTGTCGTTTCTGGTTCGTGAGGGTAAATAATTAATCTAACTTTTTTAGCAAACGATGGTGAGAGCCTTGTGTACTGTGCCACCATTTTTAGATCGACGTTTCCTTGCAATTGTAGCCACATAACTCTTTGCGTTCTTCCTATCTCGGTATGATCATTTGAAACTTTTATCCAAGCCTCGAATTTACGCTCTCTACAGCTTTGAGGATTGGGACAGTTATTTTCTGCAAGTGCTCATGGAACAATGAAGATGTGTACACTTCTTGAAACGTCCCGGTTACACGGTACTTGCAAACTCCTGTGAAGTTTGAGAGATTCGACTCGTAATCCTAAAAAATTATTGGATGTAGGTAATATCAGTGGCGTAGCTAGGATTATTTTTTTACCCTGGGCGAATAATAAAGGTGGTCTACGAGTATGTCGTGAGGGAGAGGAGGGAGGCGCGGGAGAGGGAGGAGGGCTGTGGATTGTTGAGATGGAGGTCTTGGAAGAGGAGGGAGAGGAGGTTGGATCTGTGGGAGAGGGGGTGAAGTGGCAGGAGAGGAGGGGAAGCGAGGGGAGGAGGGAGAGGTCGTGGGAGAGGCGGAGTTTCTTGTCCTGTGTGTTGTGCATTTTTTTAATATTATTAATTGTCAAATCTCTGTGTCTTGTGTGTCTGTTCTCTGTTTTTACGTTCGTCCACCAGCCGTTTTATTCTGTTGTGTTGATAACATTGCAAATATACAGACTAATCAGTCAATTCTATAAATGTAGCTAACTAAAATTGTGCACTAGTAGCTTGTAATCAGGGACAGGGCTTACAGCTTAGATTGCACAATGATGTTTTGCTTCTACTACATTTTTCATTCTTATACAACGAGCCAGTTAAGCAAAGAACATGAACACAGCTTTTGAAACCTCCGATCTCTTATCAACATCCAACATCTACAAAAGATCCCCCTCTCTCTCTCTATTCTACGTGCCTGCAAGGAGCAACCAAAGCTCTCCGAGCCATCGAAAGCCCTTCGATCACCAAAGACCTCTTGATCACCGAAGCAGACCCTGTCGAGTCCTCCTCGGCTGCCGCCTCTCTTTTCTTCGGCTTTGAAGTGCCAGGCTCCATCTGAACAATCTTGCTCTGACCTGTCATTTTGGTTTTTGTTGTTGGTTGGTTGGTTTTGAGAGGTTGAAGAAGGAGAGGGAGTGAGTATATACAGTACTAGTAAGATTGTATTTTGTAAAATCAACCTTTTTTTGGCTAGCTATGATGACATGACAAAAAAGAAGTCGATTTTGCTAATTATTTTACAAAAATGTAGTTTTGCTAATTATTTATTGAAAAATGTTTTTTTTTAATTCTTCTTCTAGTAATTGTGCAGTATCAATATCATGTATCATTCACATGCGGTGCCATGATAAATTGCTAAAGACGGTTTAATGAAGAAAGCAACAAATTGTTTTCTGAGGATGTTTGTAACATGGAATTTAGTACTAGCATCTACAAGCAGAAGCAAAAATAATCTGAATCAAAAACAGGCGAACTGAACAAAACATGCCTTCTCGTTAAGAAATTAGAAACAGAGCACAAATACAACAAGAAAAAAAAGAGTTGTGCTTTTATTTGCAATAATACCTACAGTACTAGTATACTATTATGCATAGGCACTAGGACTCTTAATGAACAAGGTGATATATACAAAAACAATTGAGTTCTCAGGCTCCTGGATACCGAGATCTCCCCTTTTTTCTTAAGAACTCGGGAATTTGCACTATGCTCCCTTCAGCAAGAGACGACGAAGGGCGTCTATTGATTCCAAGAACATCTCCATGACCCAGTTGAGCTCCCTTCAACAATATAAAAACAGCAACAACACAAATGTTCTTTAGGATTCGTATCAGAACGTAAAATCAGATGAAAGAATAAACCATAGCGCGACAGATGCAATTGGTAATTTCACGGGGGCGTACCTGTAAAGGGCGGCTATCTGTTTCATCCTGACGTTTGAATCCGGTAGCAATTAGGGTTATGCTCACCTGCATTGGATATAGTATCAGATGCCACACTCGGGGCAGGAGAACAAGTTTATAAATTAAGGTCAATAGTGAAGGTCATAAAACTTTTCATTACAATTTAATTGAAAAGAGGTCAGAGGTGATGTACATGTATATAGAAGGTTATCTGCAGGAAATGTATGTAGGCACTTCGAATGGCTGGTCGCAGTTGTGCAGTTGTGGAATGCGACATATCAACATATGTTATTAATTATTATATGTAAAACCCCTTAGACTATTAAAGATAATATACAAATCCCTTGGAAAATAGCATCCCAATAGATTGATTGTAATGTTAAATCTGCAAGAGAGAGAGAGAACAAAGTAGTTTCTTTCATTTAACTTCAACATTTTTTAATCTTTTTATTTTTATTTTTTTGCCAATAACATTAAAGAAGAAATACCTCAAGCTTCATTCCCCTATATTTGATCTGTCATGCATTCTTTTTTCAATGACGAAAAAGGGAAATTATCGCTTTTCTAGCATCATATTCCTTGGAATTTGGAGTGGTATATGATCCAGAGGTAGGAGATTTGCTAGAGAAATACTGACAGTTTCTACACTTATGCAATTAAAGTACAACGGGAGTACTTAACAAAAATCCTACAGGAGCTCGCTGAAATAAATTATCCTGATAACTATCGGATGCCCAACTTTCAGAATTAGCCAAGCTAACATAAAATGTAAATTGCTGACAGATAGGACACTTGTACTTTCTTAAAGTTCATCAACTTACTTGACCACTGAGTGACTGATCAATAACTGCTCCAAATATCAAATTCGCAGCTGGATCAACAAGGTCATATATCACCTCTGCTGCTGCATTTACCTGCAAGTTCAGGCAAACACCATTAGAACAATAGATAAAGAAGCCATGTAATTTAACAAAAATAGGTAAAGAAAAATGTAAATTTTAAAGAATCTCCTACTGAAATTTCTCTGTAGAGAAATAAAAATAGTCGCGGACATCTTAGGCTTTTATTTAAATTATGGGTGTGGAAGTGATTCTTGTAATAATATGATAACATGAGCAAACGGCAATATTGTGAGAATAGCTCTGTCCTTAATATATGCTCACAAAACAACTTCAATAATCAGCGCAAACAAATGTGGACTCTGATTAACATATGAACAAAAAAGACCAAAAATATTGAGAAAAATGGGAAAAGCCCTTTATTCTAGTCTTTGTTTCTTTTTTCTTTTCTTTTTTCGTATTTCATTTTTATTGTTTTTTATTTTTTATTTTTTTATTTTTTATTTTGAGAAAGACCATAGGTCTACATGCTTTTATAAAGGGAGATAGAATTCCCAAACTAAGGGGAAAGAAACTGCCATCACTGGAGAATATTCTCAGATTGTGGGAAGAAGTCTCAGGTAAATGATAATGATGAGCCTCCTCAGATTGTGGGAAGAAGTCTCAGGTAAATGATAATGATGAGCCTCCACCTGGATCACGTTAGAACTACCTTCGTGCATCTCAGATCCAAAATATTACAGGATCATCGTGCGTTGCTACACTCCTCCATATAAATTAAAAAATCTCCTTGCTTACTATTGACGAGGAGATTCCAATCCCAATATCCCACAAAGAAAGTGTTCAATGTTGATACCTAGACTGATCTTGCTTGGTAGTCTTTACTTATATTTAGATAGTAAAATTATACAAGAATACATTTATGAGTTGTTTAAAATCAAAATGTTACATAATCAGTTAAAAAATTTCATGTGTACATTCTGATTGACATATTCGGTATGTTTGGACATGTATTTGGATACTGTGATACTAACATGACATTTTACATGGACAGTTGGATGTCTGTGTTTCTAAAGAAAAGGAACATGAAATCAGATATAAACCCATCATAGAACGGCTTAATTGCACTTAAATACCCCATATTTTCCCATTATTGCACTTACATACCCTCACTTGTTTTTGGCAGCACTTTCATACAAAAAGTTTTTAAAACGTGCACTTATATATATATTAGGTGGAATGCACGTGCACTGCATGTGGTCAAATATCTTAATTATTTACTTTAAGTTTATTTATTTACTATAACATGGTTATAAAAAAGTTTATAATTATCATAATATATTTATTTTTTTATATTTCCATGTGTAAAATTTTGTTAGATTTAACATTTTGTCTTCTAGAGAAATAGTGATGTTTAAAGCCTTAAAATATTATTGATTTAAAATTAATTAGTAATTTGAATGTATAATTTCAAAATATTAATGATGTAAGGGACCAATATGAAAAAATTATTATTATTATTAATGAAGAAAATAAATTCTTGAATTCGTCAAAGAAAATTGTAGGTTTTATCCAATCATTAAGGATTTTGTTTAGTTATAAAAAAACCACTTCCACCTATTGTTTACTTCCACCTATTGTTTAACCGGCGACCGAGTATTTTATATATTCAAGAACTTTTTTCTAAAATTTTCTAAGTTAGAATGTGCAAATTCAATCAAGAAAGAAAACACAAACTATGTGATCAATTCCAAAATATGATATTGTACTCTTCTTACATCTCAACAACTATTAATTTATCTGTCAAAATGACTACTCATATTGATTGTATTTTAACAAAATAATTCCTATCCATCCAATGTCAAACAATATCCAAAAAATTATGCTAAGGAATTAGAAGAATACAGTTTCCGCAACAATACTCATATCCGAACTATGAGCTTCATAAACTTATAAGAATGTGAGTAATATAAAATGACAACTTAATTTACTTTATCTAATAATTTATTATAAATCATGAAAAACAATGGAATAAAAAGGATCACATACCCATCCCAAATAAAAATTAAGTTTCTATTAGAGATTTTTATAGCAAAAAATTTTCAGAGTTGATGTATAGGATAAATTTAAGGACAAATAACCCAAATCAATTCTTTGAATGATGGTCCTGTTATAGACTCTACTCTTATAAAATTGATGTCACTTGTGCCTTAAGTTGTGCTTTTGGTTAAATATTGATTTTGAAAACTCCCCCTCAATTGTGAGGCGCATGTCAACATCCCCTCCCCCCTAAAAAAACTATTTGAAACTGAGTAAATCTCCATCAAGTTTTGGGTGTTTTGTAGGTGATCTATCTCAGTAGGTGATCTATCTCAACATAAAAATTTTGATTTAACCCCTGTGAACTTTTCTCACTTAAACCTAACCTCTCAAAACTAATATCATTGAGTCTTATCTATTATGTGACAAATACTTGACTTGTAAAGATCAAAATATCCCTCAACCATAAAAGAATTACCTTGGTTTTTGCCATATAAAAGAAAAAGAGGTGATATAGAGGGAAAAAGAATTATAAATTGGTTGTTGTCCTTTTATTACCGGTTGAGCGTTTCTTTTTACCTAAAATGGCTTTCTTCAAGAGGGTATTTTGTCCAAATCACATATTGAAGTAACTATATTAAGGGGGTCTATTGATAGAAGTGTAAAAGATTATAGGAGTTTTTATGAGACACGCTATACTTGAGGGGTGTTGCTTGGCGAAAATTTTGTAGTAAAACTGAAAGAAATATATTTGATTTGTATTCTCTTAATCTCAATTACAATTTGGATTTCTGATTACAAAAGAGAAAAGAATTGATCTGAATTCTCCCCTTTGTTTAATTTTGGGTTCTTCACGGTGACGATGGAGTGCCTCCCTCGAATGCTCGTGTCGAGTTTGCTCTTCGTTGACGATCCGAACGTCTTGATTCACTGGAATGATATCTCCTCCTCATGATTTAACGTTATGGAGAACTTGCAAAGCAAGTTTGAAACTCTTAATGAGTTGATAACTCTGAACGAGTTTGAAACTCTATGAAAAAGTTGATTTAACCGAAATCAGTTTATAAGCCAAAGGAATGCTCCAAGAACTTTGTTGCTGCAGGAAGCTCGAAGATGATATACTGCAGGAAGCTCGAAGATGATCTGCTGCAGGAAGCTCGAAGATACTCCAAGATCCAAAGATACTCCAAGATCTCCAAGATACTCCAAGATCCAAAGATACTCCAAGATACTCCAAGATCCAAAGATACTCCAAGATCCAAAGATACTCCAAGATCTTCAAGATACTCCAAGATCCAAAGATCCGAACTCAGTTGAGTTTACTCCTATTTATAGGGGATTAAGGGGTGTAACCGTCCCCTTAATTCGCTCCTAAGTGGAGCTAAATAGGGTGTAACCGCCCCCTTAAACTGCTCCCCAAATCGTGGGAAAAATGGTTTTGAAACCGTTCAGTTCGTGCGTTGAACGAGTCAAACGCTGAAAAATAGCATCTAGGGTCCGAACTCTGCGTTTTAGACTAAAAATGCAGAGTTGGGCCTATTTTGGTGGCTGAACACACAGGTCGCGCTGCGTTGTAAATCTGAAACGCAGAGTTAGGACGCAGAGATGAACTCTACGTTTTGGATCTGAGACGCAGAGTTGGGCTCTGCATGAACTCTACGTTTTGGACCTGAGACGCAGAGTTGGGATGCAGAGATGAACTCTGCGTTTTGATCCTGAGACGCAAAGTTGGGCTCTGCATGAACTCTGCGTTTTGAGTCCATGAACTCTGCTTCTAGACTTGAATGATGGGGATGGCCTTTGTGTTTTCAACTAGAATGTTGGGCATGACCTCTGCGTTTTGACTCTGAAACGTGGGTATGACCTCTGCGTTTTGATGTTATAACACAGGGATGATCTCTGCGTTTTGATGGTGAAACGCAGGGATGACCTATGCGTTTTGATGTGAAGAGACCATCAATTTGTGGTCTCTTTGCTGGAACGTTACAAAAACCGTCATCTTGTAATCTTCATCTGGCTCCTTAAAAATATGAGAGTCATCAGATTGTAATTCCCGATGTTGATTGTGAAGGCTGTTGAACTAGAATTTTTATCGGTTGTTATGAAGATCGTCATATTGTAACCTTCATCGATCTATGTGAAAGTTTTCAAATTATAGCCTTATGAAAATCGTCAGATTATAACTTCCATCATCGATGTTTGATGGAGGATCAGTTATTTGTTATGATTTTTAAACAACCTACAGGTGTTTTCTAAAATAGCACCAAAATTGAGAGGGGTTATCTATAACACCCCCATAATAAGGGGATTTATTAAATTGAATCAGTTGAGTGGGTTTTTTGAGACAATCCCTATAGTTGAGACGATTTTTAAAAAATTAATTCTTCTTTTAAATATGGCTTATTTATAATTTGTCCCTTAAAATTTTAATAATTTAATATCATTCCTAAAAATTATGAGCAATTTTAAAATTTTGAGGGAATAACATAGAATTATTGGATACTTAAAATCAAGGAACTAATATCTAAATAATTTTCACATATTTGCTCTTATAGGCATTGTATTAAACATCAGTTGATATATTGCTATATCAGTCGATATATCGGTTTAAAGACTTTATCTTGATAAAATTTTATATTGTTTTCTTTTATTTGGTGATTTTTTTTTATATATCGACCGCTATAAAAAAATATGGCCGATATATCCTTTTGAAGATATCGAAATAATTATGTCATTTTTAATTTGATTGTGGGATCGGGTTTGAATCATGTTTAGGAAACAAAATCGAAACCCCCAAAACCCACAAAAGCCGCAATTCTTCTCCAAAATCTCTACATTCTCGGCTTTCCAAAATCTTAAGCATATATCTCGATACAAATTATTATGTTTAAAATTTAATAATATGTTAGATTACATATTACAATATTATGTTATGTATGAATATTATCTCATATGACATCCAGTATTGTATACAAATTCCCAATTTCTGTAATCTGATATCATGGATTTTATTTGTTCAATATTTATCTCATGCCCACCACCTTATAGTAGTCCTTCGAAAGCCTATTCTAAAGTTTTCTAAGCGAAGTATATAATTTCAGAAAATAATTCAAAATCTTGAGACTTATTCAAAATATAGTGTTTTTTTAAGCATTGTATTTTGAACCTACCTCCCTGTAAGGTTTAATATATTTGATTTAATTATTGTATGTGTAAAATTAGAAACCATATTTACTGCTCTATACTTAAAAGAGTACTATTCATAATACAGTAAATTATTAAAGTACGAATAGTAAATTTACTCTGCATACTTAAAGGACCTACTGTTCATGCTATAGCAATTTACTGTATCATGAATAGTACCCTTTTAAGTATAGAGCAGTAGACATGATTTCTAATTTTACGCATACAATAATCAAATCAAATGTATTAAACATTAGAGGGAGGGAGGTTCAAAATGCAATGCTTAAAAAAGCACCATATTTTGAATAAGTCTCAAGATTTTGAATTAGTTTCTAAAATTATATACTTTGCTTAGAAAACTTTAGAATAAGCTTTCGAAGGACTACTATAAGGTTTCAATTTTTTGGATCCTCCTTTAACTATAGAGGAGTAAATAAGCTAAGCATCTGGCTTTATATTGTATAATAAATATTATTTATCAATGAGATTATATACTATTGTTTGTAGATAACAAAAGTTTTGATTTTTTTATAGGCTTAAATGAACTTAAATAAGTTATAGTTTACCAAAATTATACTTATGTACCCCCACTTGTATCTTGTTACACTTAAATATCTTAATATTTTCTAAAATTTTATATTTGTACCTTCTATCCTGTTACCTAAACATAAGAATGCTCTTTGTAATTTTCCTATATGAGTGTCATGGTATAATTTTAGGACAACTCTATGTTTTCTACTCTTTCCATATATACTCGATTAATATGCAATTATCTATTAATATATTATTATAATTACTAATAATTAATATGATGTAGAGTTTTACATTAATGTTGGAAGTTTTAAGGACCAAATTATACAAACTTGAAGTGACATATAGTACAATTGATTAACAACGATAATTAATTTAGTTAGTAATAGAATGTAATTAAAAAAATAAAGGTAATATAGTCCTTGAAAAGTTTTTCTACAACTCCCTCTTTTAAAGGGAGTGATATGATATGATATGATCTTCAATTCTTCATTTGTTTTGGCAACACTTAGACACCCTAAAATTTTTAAAACTTGCACTTAAATGCCCTCATTTATGCAAACTTGAGGGCATTTAAGTGCAAGTTTTAAAACCTTTAGGTAGGGTATTCAAGTGCCAATTTTAAAAACTTTAGGGTATTTAAGTGCAAGATTAAAAAACTTTAGGGTATATAAGTGCTACCAAAAACAAGTGAGAGTATATAAGTGCATGTTTTAAAAACTTAATGGTATATAAGTGCTACCAAAAACAAGTGAGGGTATACAAGTGCAACAGAAGGGAAACTGTATGGTATTTAAGTGCAATTAAGCTTTATAGAAAACTCTATAAATATAATTTGGCCCAAATTGGTGCATGTTTGGAATAAAACGTTTGGTTTCTGATTCTTAACATGTTTTGTCGATGCTCAGATCATAGTGGAACAATAATTAGGAACATGCAGTCATGCACCAGGAATGCTACTGACAAAACATAATTCCAGTCTCCATATCATAAATGAAAACCTACTTTTCAACATCATATTGGCTGCCAGTGCCTTAATCTTAAATCTAACACAGCATATATTAGGGTTAACCAAATACCATTTATCAATAGAATAAACCAGGTTGTGTTTGTGTTCATGCCACTATCTGAAACTGAGCATGACTATAGTTATCCTGAAACACAATATAATAAAAAATGCAACAAAGCTTCATTATCAGAGGAAGATAATCTGTTTAAATGCTATAATTACATATGTACAACTTCTTTTCAGGATGATTACATGAACAATTTAGAAGGTGTAAAAGCAAGCATATAGATCTTACCTCATACAGGGTCAAATCATTTCCTCCAGTTATGTTCCATACTATTCCAGTAGCCCTCTCAATGCCGATATCTAGTAAAGGGGATTGGATGGCATTTAATGCAGCATCTCTTGCCCTTGATTTACCTGTGAAATAAAACCAGAAGAATCAAACTAAACCTTCAATAGAATATCGGATAATCGTGTACTTTCCCAAAAATATTCAGGTCAGCAAAAACTTTTCATGGGAGTATGCCAGTTTTTATTTTCCTTCTAGAACCGCAATTATTTTTGCTAGGAGTATAGGATATTGCTATATTTGACTATGGAAAACTGTTCATGTTTAAGCTTAGTTTTTTCTGTACTTCCGTACGACAAATTTCTGTGATTCCTCTTGATCAAGCCTACCCTTCACTTCTGTATATCTTTTTATGATACATGCTAACTACTAGGAGGAGAGAGAAGAAATGAGAAAGTATATCCATACGAGGAGCCTAAAGAATTCAATACATAAGCTGTATGCATGGGTACTTCTATTTGGAGCCGTACCCATGTTGTACCTGTACCCAACACCGAGACTTCAGTGGACACTCCTTGAATATTTTGGATATCAAGTTAAAAGACGACCCAGTGCAAACCTATGATTATAAAGGATCTTTTGGATATCAAGTTAAAAAGACAACCACTTTTAATGATACTGATCACATGTAAATTATAATGATATATACATGTATGTGTATATATCATTATAATCAAAAAAATGATACTGATCTCAGTAAATTATAATGATATATACATGTATGTGTAGCTGTGGACACATGCCCTACCTTTTACAAATTTGACATGTCCCGTACTCATACCCGCATCCATACCCGTACCCGTACTCGTATCCGTGTTAGCTTAGGTTATCCCCCTTACTTCAAGGAGCCAACTATTAACCGGATGCATATCCTGTTTTCCACAGTAATGCTATTATGTGAAAGTCAAAACACAGTCAACATATATTCCCATACCTAAGAGCTCAAAAGGGTGCTTACTTACTTCCAAGCAACACTATAAACTGTTGATCAAAATATATAAACAAACTTTACAGCATTTTCCAGACAAAAAAGATCCTACAAGTGCTGTGTTGCTTCCTTCCACACTGGCTCATGACGTAAAAAAACATCTTACCCAACCCAAAAATAAGGCAGCCGAGCAAACTTAAAGAGTAGAAACAATAAAATATGATAGACAATCACTAGAGTTTTCCCATCGAAAATATTACTAACTATTGCATCCTCCGAGGAGGACATGACATAAAGTCCTTTAAAGATAATATAGAGCCATAGGCTAACTAAGTCCTTTGAAGATACGTAATCAGTACTTGCAAATGGAAATAATTCTGTAAACAAGTTTCTTGGAAGCAGTAGGCACATTATTTTACAAGGTTCAAATGTGGTGCCAATGTTCTTGCATAAGGAACTACCTGTTGCAGTTCCTATACCCATCAATGAAGAACCTGCATTTTCCATAATTGCTCGAACATCAGCAAAATCAACATTGACCAAACCTGGAACCTGTAAATGAAGAAAGCAGATATTATTGTGGGATGGTCTGAATGAATATAAACATGAAAATGAGAGTACAGTTAACGTACTTCAAGGGGTGAGTTATTTTACCGTGTTGGAGTTAGATATTATGAGGATGAATGATGAGAATGATGGTAGAAGAAGATTGTAAAGAATAGGAAAAATATTGTACATGATAAATCTTTATGTCAAATTACAATGTTTTTCATATAATAGGGGAAAAAAGATTATATATAAGAAGCAAATTGATATAAAGGGATAATGATCCAAGCTCCACTTTATAGTAGTTAAAAAGTTATAAGCAATTATAGATAAAGAATAACCACAAATGATTAATCAGGAAGCTTTCAATAATTTAAATGATTCGTTACTGGATCATATTGTTTGTACAAGTTTGTATGTATTCTCAGTATTGAACAGGCCACACATCTTTTAGTTTCCGGACAAAGTAAGCATGAAATGTTGCGGTATGGGTAAAGCAGTTTCCTGCATTTCCAGATATTGCATTGGAAAATTTGGATACTTTTGCTATGTGCAACCAAAACAAATAATAAATATAATTTTACTGCCCAGCACTTATGAAATTGAAGCATGGAGAATGATAAGAAAGGGCATGGTGAAGGGCGTAAATTAACAAGGAAAAAGTTCATGTTTCATAGATTTTCAAGAAGAAAAGGAGGTAAGGACTATTCGAAAGAGTAAATTACTATGAAGGGCATGAAACTAACATTCATAACAAGAAGATTTTTGGAACTATCTAAAAGACCTATAGCTGGCATAAATATGAAGGGAAGAATTACCCAGGAGATTAACATGAAGGCTTAGAGAAAATGCACTAAAAGATGAGCTCAAGAACAAATGATGTGGAGATTTCCAATGCAATTTTCTACATCAATATCGTCATAAAGCTGGATATCTATGTTATTCCTCACCGTGATTATATCAGAGATCCCACGAACACCTTGACGAAGTATGTCATCAGCCAAGTTGAATGCCTCTGTGACAGGAGTATTTGGAGAAACTGCAGTCAATAACTTGTCATTTGGTATAACAATTAATGTGTCGACATTTTCTCTCAAAGCAGCTATTCCTTCTTGTGCTTGAACTGCACGCCTCCGTCCTTCAAATGAAAATGGAGTTGTGACAATGCCCACAGTTAAGATGCCCATTGATTTTGCAACACCCGCAATTATAGGGGCACCTCCTGTTCCAGTTCCTCCGCCCATCCCAGCCTGCAGGTTGTATAAGACCTTTATTATCTAAACGATCAGCAGCTATTTATTATTTTATATATAAATGCAGACGCAGCAAACTATAAGGTCTCATAGGTTAGCGATGGTTTGGTAAATAAATACTGAGCCAGGTGGTTACTCTGCCATTCAACCAGTTAAAGGTTTCATCTTTCTTAAAATAAAAAATGAAAGGAAGTTAGGAAAATGGAGAAAATTTGAACATTTAGGTGATTACATGGTTAAATGATTGTTAGGATGATAAAGATAATGAATTCAGGCAACGAAGAAAGAAAAACCATAACTCACATGCTGGACATGAAAAACTATGTAGGATCTTGCAGATTACGGGTTTCATAATATGATAAAAATTCCAACATACTCTTCATACAGATTAAAAGGGAAATGACCACACATATGTAACAAAAAAGACACCAATGTTAATATCATCTCAAAACATCATTCAAACCTAACATAATATACACAATCTATATTCATAAACAAAGTAGTCAAATAAATTAACATTGCAAATATTGACAACATTAGAAAATATATAATGAGTTTACCGTTACAAAGACCATATCAGCACCATTAACCGCCGCCTCTATCGATTCTCTGCTTTCCTTGGCAGCATTCATTCCAATCTCCGGGTTCCCACCAGCACCAAGACCTCTTGTTAGCTCCTGACCAATTTGCAACCGATTCTGAGGATAAATAGGAGACAACCTCATCGCCTGTATATCTGTATTCACAATCCAAAACTCCACCCCATTCATCGAGCTCTCAATCATTCTATTGACAGCATTTGATCCTCCGCCGCCAACACCAATAACTTTTATCTTGGCCGCATTGTAATCATTCGGAATAGACTCCTCCGCCGAGTTTTCATTGGTGTTAATACTCGATTTCTCATTCCTCCGGCCAAGAACTGTTTCATCTCCTTCTCCTCTGAGCATGGAGATTTCGGGATGCAAGTGCAAGAAAGGGTCATTATTCTGGTAAGACCCAATCTTTTTGGATTTTGCACAACATTTAAAATGCTTAAAACATGTAACCCGTTGTAATCCCAAAACCCTGCCCCCTTCATCAAACCTCTGAATATAGCTAACTCTAGTTCTTCCTCCAAAAATGGCTGAAGCTCCAAGTGAAGACTGGCCACTGGAGGTTGCAAAATATGGTGTATTAACTGCCATCTTAATTTCACAAGGTGGAATTCACAGCAACTGATGCAAATTAAAATGCAGCTGAAAGGTTTAAACACACTTGTTGCCCATCATCTACAGAAACATAAGAAGATCACTCTAAAATCAGGTAAGAATCCCGAGCAAGAGATTAAGCAATTGAACGAGAAACCAATAAGATTCTCAAGATCTATTTCATGTCATCATCCAATTGCAACGGCTTGTCAATTAGGGTAGGCGAGATATAAAATTTTGTGAATAGAAAACCGACCCACGATACAAAATCCACAAAAAAAAAGAGACCCAATCTCAAATTCAAGCTTAATTCTCAACAAACAAGAAAAACCCATAAATTGAAAAGGGGAAATAAACAAGAATGGCACCTGAAATAGCTCAAAGAGAGAGGAAAACCCTCAAAGAATAACCCCAGCACTGAGCTCTCGAAGGAGGAAAAGATAGTGAAATTAAGAGGACAGTGACCGAATCTTAAAGGGGGAGAGGTTTTAAGAAACGCGATTGAGATTGGGCTCGAGCCTTCAAAAACCCACGTGAAAGTTTTGCAGAGTGATAACGAGGGTAGTTTAGTAAATTAGATGGATTGTATGGGGTTATAATCGTCCGACCGCTATCAGGTGGGCAACAGGAAAGGACGAAAGAGTCGTCTTCTAAAGAAATGGAAATTGTTTTTTTCCCTAGAATCGCAAAAGTACTGTCATACCCCTGTTCTTTTCTCTCATTTACCCCCTAATTCAAGGTGTAAAAAAATTGTAGTATAAAATTTTCCTCATTTCCCTTCTCTACACTCCAGGTTAAACACAAATTTTTCTTCTCCATTCTCTTCTCTACCCTCCATCCAAACACATCATTTCTTTTTTGAGAATACTGATAACACAGTGAGCATACGATCGGTTTGGATGGTTTTGACAAAAAACCGAGTTGGACGGTTTAAAATTAGACGTCACACCAAAATGATCGAAATTTGCTTTAGTGGTTGTGATTCATTTTATTCGGATTGGAATTGGACTTATTTAGTTAAAATTTTATTTTTTTTCATGACCCGAAAGAAAGAGATAGATCGATCAATAAAGAAAAAAATGTAAGAGTATTAGTAAAAGAACGAAGCGAATCAATTGAAAAATAGAAAAAGAGAATAAGCCTTTTTTTACCGGAAAGAAATAGACAGGTCAATAAAAGAACAATGTAAGAAAATTAATAAAAAAACGATGAAAATTAATTGAAAAAAAATAGAGAGAAGAACTTTGTGAGGTAATGTAAATAAATTTAATTTTTATACATTTTCTAAGGCTAAATACCCATATTGGTATTTTAATTCCACCCCATTTACCAAGAAGGTATTTTAATTAGGCAAAGCTGCTTTAAGGCATTTTAATTGATTCAACTTACCAACAAGGCCATTTTTCTTGTCGGCGACCAGTTTTCCGGCGAGAGCTCGTCACGTGCGTGGCACGTGATGACTTAAACTATTTTTTAGCTGCTGATGTCGCACGGATTTTTTGATGTGGCAGTGTTTAAAGGCGGGAATTAACCCTCTAAAAACCCCAATTCACCCAAAATAGGACAGATCCGTGCCACATCAGCAGCTAAAAAACAGTTAAGTCATCACGTGCCACGCACGTGACGAGCTCTCACCAAAAACTGATCGCCGAAGAGAAAAATGGCCTTGTTGGTAAGTTGAAACAATTAAAATGCCTTAAAACAGGTTTTCCTAATTAATAACTTCTTGGTAAATTGGGTGGAATTAAAATATCAATATGGGTATTTAGCCCATTTTCTAATTAAAAGTTAGGATTCTTCTTAGCCAGTTTTCTTCTGTCGCCAGTCTTTCCTTGGCCATCCTCTCCTCTTTCATTTTTCTTGTCGGCGACCAGTTTTCCGGCGAGAGCTCGTCACGTGCGTGGCACGTGATGACTTAAACTATTTTTTAGCTGCTGATGTCGCACGGATTTTTTGATGTGGCAGTGTTTAAAGGCGGGAATTAACCCTCTAAAAACCCCAATTCACCCAAAATAGGACAGATCCGTGCCACATCAGCAGCTAAAAAACAGTTAAGTCATCACGTGCCACGCACGTGACGAGCTCTCACCAAAAACTGATCGCCGAAGAGAAAAATGGCCTTGTTGGTAAGTTGAAACAATTAAAATGCCTTAAAACAGGTTTTCCTAATTAATAACTTCTTGGTAAATTGGGTGGAATTAAAATATCAATATGGGTATTTAGCCCATTTTCTAATTAAAAGTTAGGATTCTTCTTAGCCAGTTTTCTTCTGTCGCCAGTCTTTCCTTGGCCATCCTCTCCTCTTTCTCTTCTTTTCTCATAAATCCACGAATTCATGGACACATTTAACACTACCCTTTTCCCGCCATCACTGCTTTGGCCATTATCTCTTTCTCTCTCAATCTTTTCTCCATTAATTTTTTTTTTACCATCATGCCCCCTCCACCACCATCTCTCTTTCTTCCTTAAATTCATGGTTTACTGTGATAAAAATGTGGGCTTTAGTAAAATAAACAGGGTTCACGGGATTTACGTATTTCTATGCCCCGGAGTTCGGATAAATTTTTGGGAATTTTTTTTCAATTTTGAATATACGATTAATTTTAGAAACCGTTGAGCTTCGAGGGGCGTTGTTTATAACCCTAATATACTATTTTAAATTTGAGAAAACTCACTGAAATTTTAGTGTTACAAATAAATGCCTTGTGGTGGTAGATTCAGAAAAGTTTTCATGGTCGCAGATGACAAGTATCTATTTATCTAAAAATGAAAATTTAACTTTATATAATTATTAACCTAATGAAAGTGCACTTTGTACAATCTATTAGCCTCGTTCCATCGTAATTTATGTAATTGTTTAAGTTTTTTAGTGTTTGAATTTTTAGCGTTCGGGCTCATTGTCTTATTTGTTTGGTAACGTAATAGACTACTAATTTAAAATAGGCTAAATGTAATGAACTCTTAATTTCTTTAGTGATTATATAAGGTTAGGGTGCAAGTTGTTTATGTTGGAAGCTTATTCATGAAAAGGCAATTTTGCCTTTGTGAATAGTCCCACATCGGAAAATGAGATGAATAGTAAAGGGTATATAATGGTTCTCTCCTTATTGGGCTTTGAATAGTGTTTTGGGTTTTGTGGGCTTTGCGGTTCTACCACACACGCGCGCGCCCGCCACGCCTCGCCGCAACCGCACACTTTTGCTTCTCAAGCCTTCATTTTTGCACGTTTTACACATTTTGTAACGGCTGCATGCGGGTAACGGAAGCATTAACCGTGCGTAACGGTTCCTTGGATTCAGCGGGGGTTACACCTTTCATCACCTATAAAAGGAGGCTTGGAGCTCATTCAGAAACACACCAACGAAGAGGAAAAACTCTACACTCTCTTCTCTTCTCTACTTTTATACCTCCAATAAAAGATTTCGGCTACATATTTACATATTCTATTTTCTGGGCAACTGTTTTCGTCTGAGCATAAGCTCTGTGTCTCACGCCCGAGTGCAGAGGCCGGCCGATTCCGGGGGTTTTTACCGCTAGGGGAGAGAGGACAAACTGCGCCAGGGCGATAGGCGGGTCCTTAATCTTCTAGGGCAGTGATATCACGACTGCTCCCAATCAGGCCTGAATTTTCTAACTCTTTAATTTGTTTTATATTATTATTGTTTTGACAGCAATCTAGAAGATTAATTAATAATTCTTGCTGTTAAGTTAATTAGTAAAAAAAATTAATAAAAAAAAATTACTGTTTATCGGGATTACTGTTCACCCGAATTTTATATATTTGTTGTATTAGTTAATTGTTTTAATTTGTTGTATCTAAATTAGTTAAAAAAAAATTTATTATTTCCTTGCTGCTTCTGTGCTCAAATTCAGTATCTGTCATAAACAAAAAATCTTTAAGTGAACCGGTTCAAGTTTTCTTGGATTAGTTGGTGTCTAAGGAAAGGTTTAAGGGTTGCGTAAAGCGCTCTGCAAGAAACGAGGTACTTAATCGATCATTGATCAACCTCTAGTACTATCCTTACCTGGCCAAACTACCCGAGTAAAACTTTAATCTTTTCACTTTTAGAGTTTTTGGTTAAGAGCAGGTTTAATTAAGTTTCTGGTCTAGTAATATTGACAAAATCCTTTTTTATATCAGATTACATCTACCTAGACTAGTAAACTTAAATTGGACTTATGGCAATTCCTGATCATTCAAAAAGTGTCAAACCTGAGAAGTTCACCGGTGTTAACTATAAACGGTGGGCTAATCAGATGAAATACTGGCTTACTACCTTAGGTCTTTTATCTGCTATTGACACTTCTGAGTCATCTACTAGTGGTTCTCAACCTTTGACTCCTGATCCTGCTCAACCTGCTCCTTCCACTTCTGGTTCTGGTGCTAGCTCCTTTTCTAGCTCTATGAAACCAGAAGAAATCAACTATCATTGTTGTCATAGGATTCTTAGTGCACTTGCAGACAACCTTTATGACATATATTATGAGTTCAAAAGTGCAAAAGAACTATGGAATGCCCTTGAAGCAGAATATGGCTATGATGATGCCGGAATTCTGCGTTTCACCTCCTCCTCATTCAATAAATTCACAATGGTAAGTTCTGCTTTGTCTGTGGTAGAACCAACCACATGGCTCACAACTGTTTCTTTCGGAAGAAGGAACCGGCCAAACCTGCCCCTAAAGGAAATGGATCCAACAAAGTTAATATGATTGAAATGAATCCAACCTCCTTCAGGTTAGCCTCTTCATCTCATCTTGTAAATTCTCTAACTTCTTCCACTGATTGGTATTTGGATTCCGGAGCAAATATCCACGTCTGTAATGACCGCTCTTGGTTTTCAAATTATCAGGAATCACGTGGAGGAAGCATAAGCTTAGCAGATGACTCCACTAATTCAATAATAGGAAGTGGACGTATAGAGCTCACCATGACTTCTGGGAAAGTTCTTCATCTGCAAGGCGTTTATCATGTTCCTTCTCTCCGTCGCAATCTGATTAGTGAATCTCTTCTTCTTAGAGCTGGTTATAGGATTGTAAAAGAATCCAATAAATTTGTGATTACAAAGAGTAATGTTTTCATAGGAAAAGGTTTTATCTGTAATGGCCTTTTCAAACTCAATGTAATCAATTCCAGTTCTAATGAAATTTCTGAGTCTTCTGTTATTCAAATTGTTGAGTCTTGTGATGTTTGGCATGGACGACTTGGACATGTTAATTTCCAAACCTTGCAGAGAATGAGTAAATTAAACCTCATTCCTAAATCTTCTCATGATCCCTCATCTAAATGTGAAATCTGTGTTCAAGGGAAACACACTAAAAAACCCTTCAAGTCTATAACTAGAAACTCTGAACCCCTCGAATTAATTCATAGTGATGTGTGTGACTCTAACCGAGTTCTCACCCGAGGGGGTAGGAGATATTTTGTGACTTTTATAGACGATCACTCCAGATATTGTTACACCTATCTTCTCAAAACTAAAGATGAAGTCTTAGATAGGTTTAAGGTGTTCAAAGCTGAATCTGAGAA